TTTCAGGTAGTGCTGGCTGTGTGTTTGCCCCGTACGGCCTTTAGGGAGTTGTGCTATGCTCCTCCCCATCTAGTCTTTCTAGGTCTTTTATTGTGAAGACATGTTGGATTTTTGTCCGAGGCCTTTTCTGCCTTTATTGATAATGTGATTTTTTTTTTTTTAAACCTAAAGTCTTTGTTGCTGTTGTTACATTTTTCTAATGTGTGTTCACCAGGGATGTAGGTCTGTAACTCTTTTTCCCCCGTGAGTGTTTACCTCACTTTGGTATTAGTTCAGTGCTGGCTTCGTAGGAGGAGTTTGAGGGTACACCTTCTGTTTTTGTTTGTATGCAGTTGGCTGTAGACCTTTGAAAGACTGATAGAATTCTGCTGTGGATCCACCTGGGCCTGGCTATCTGACTCCCCTATTATGGGTCTATTCAGATTGCTGCTTTCATCTTGGCTTAACTGCAGTGGTTTGGATGAATCTTGAAGTTAATCCATATCTTTCGGCTTTCCCAACTTAATGGAATACATGTTTTGTTTTATGTTTGAGAATGTGTCTCATTGTGTATCCCTGAATGGTGTGGAAGTCTCTGAAGACCAGGCCAGCCTCAAACTCAAAGAGCTCTGCCTGCTTCTCTAGTGCTGGGATTAAAGGTGTGTGCTGCTATGCCCAGCTTTGGGGTACATGTTTTAAATACTCCCTTACAGTCTGAATTTCCTGGTGTCTGTTTTAAGGTTTCTGATTCTTTTCTTTCGAGTCATCTCTTTTTTGTGTCTTGGTTAGTTGAGTCAATCTTATTAATTTTCTCAGAGAACCAACTCTTACATTGTTTCTTTGTGTCGTTTTTAGTTTCTATTTCATTCATTTCTGCTCCAGTGTTTATGATTTCTTTGTTTATGATTTCTTGCCATCCATTGGATTTGGTTTGTTTTGTTGATTCTGTAGATTCTTGAGTTGTATCATTAAGTCATTTGTTTGTGGTCCTTCTAATTTAATACAGATACTTGGAGCTATACGTTTCCCATGGAGGACTCCCTTTAATGAATCCACAGGTTTTGTTTTCATTTTATTCCAAGAATATTTTTTTTTTCTTGATTTCTTCAGTAATGAGTTGTTTAATCTCCACAAATTTGTTACACTTAGTAGAGGGTGTGTGTGTGTGTGTGTGTGTGTGTGTGTCTGTTTTATATTTTATTGCATTAGGGTCAGATATTTTTGAGTCAGAGTCCCTGTCCATAGCCCACGCTGTCCTGGAACTCGGTATGTAGACCAGGCTGTACTCAAACTACATGTTGTGTGGAGTTTCTTTCCCAGCCTTCTCTATTTGATCTTCTGTATACTTCTTGTATCTCTATGGGTGTGTTTTCCCTCAGTTTGGGGACATTTTCTTCCATGATCTTGTTGAAGATCTGTCTGGTCTATGCCGTTAACCTGGGGTTCTTCTCCCTCATCTGTGCCTAAGAAGATTTGGACTTTACATGGTAATCCGCAGTTCCTTTGTGTTTCTTTACATTTTTCCTGTTCTTTGCTTGTGTGGACTAATTCCTCTAGTTTACCTTCATGTCCCGATATTCTATCTTCTTTCTACTTGACCCATTTTACTTGCAAGGCTTCCACTGACTTTTACAGTGGGGCTATGTTTCAATTCTTGTTCATTTCTCTTTACTAAGCTCAGTTTTCAAGCCCTGACTTGTCTTAGTCATTTCATTGAGCTGTGTGTCTGCATTTTCCTGGACTGCACTGAGGTATCTATTGTTGTCCTCTTGAGGCTGAGTGAGGCGCTCACGTCTCTTTAAACCCCTTGAATTCTTCAATAAGTTTATGAGTGTTTTCATTTCTGAGTCCTGAGTTCGTCTGGGGAGTTCTCATTTGAGAACATTTTTATAGGACGAGTGTGTGAGATGGCAGAGATCCTGCCTTGGCCTTACACACACATTTTTATTTCTGTGATACGATCTAGGAATGTGGGCTTCTTCCTTTGGTTGTGTGTCTCTGACACTAGACTGCCAGGTAAAGCTGGTATGCCAGCTGCTTGATTAGACTGGAGCCAGGCAAAGCTGCGGGCTGGAGCTGGGCCTATGGGCGTGGAAACGGCAGCAGTGGGTGGGTGTGGGGAGGAGGGGCTTGCGAGGCGAGCCTGGGTGTATGGGGTTGGTAGGGGGACACACCAGACACTATTTTTTGTCTTTTTCATACAAGTGCGATTACCTCATGGTCTTGACTTTGATGTCCCTAATGTAATTAGCGACACTGAGCATTTTTTCTTCTGCTTATTTGTCATTTCTGTGTCCTCTGTTGAGAATTGCATTATTTGCCATTTTTTAAAATCAGATTACTTATGCTCACCTGTTTGAGCTCCTTAGACATTGTGGACATTAATCTCTTCTCAGATTAATAATGTGTGCATATTTCTTCCCATTCTGAAGATTGTCTCTCTCCACTCTTGATTTTTAAAAATATGATCTTCAAAGCGCAGGCAATAAAAACAAAAAGTAAAAACTGGCGTCATATCGATCAAAGCAAAGCTTTCGTACAACAAAGGCAGTTAAGACTAGTGTATCCCCAAAGGATATTCTACCCTACAACAAGGACACTTGCTCAACTGTGTTCATAACAGCTGTATTTGTAATAGCCAGAAGCTGGAAACAACTTGGATGCCCCTCAACTGAATAATGGATAAAGAAAATGTGGTACATTACTCAGCTGTTAAAAACAATGACGTCATGAAATTTGTAGGCAAATGGATGCAACTAGAAAAAAATCCTGAGTGAGGTGACCCAGACCCAGAAAGACAAACATGGTATGTACTCATTCATAAGTGGATATTAGTTGTTAAGTAAAGGACAATCATGTTACAATCCACAGACCCAAGGAAGCTAAGTAACATGGAGGGCTCAAAGGGGGACATTTGGATCTCCCTGGGAAGGGAAATAGAGTAAATCAGAGTAGACTTAGGGTTGGGGCAGGTGAGGATAGAACAGGAGGGATCCGGTAAGGGGATGGAGACAGAAAGTACTGGAAGAGATGACGGGGGGGGGGGGTCGTTTGGGGGTAAGGTAGAAACCTAGTACAGTGGAAATGCACAGGGGTCTACAAGGATGGTCCTAGCTAAGACTCCTAGCAGTAGGGGATACAGAGCCTGAACTGGCCATCTCCTACAACCAGGCAAGACTTCCAGTCTCCAACCCAGCCACAAAACCTTTGACCTTCAAGATGGTGCAGAAATTGTGGGAGTGGCCAGCCAGTGACTGACTGGTCCATCCTGAGTCCCAGGCCATGAGAGGGAGCCCACCCCGGACACCGCCTGGAGGGCCAACCCCAGAGACACAGAAGCTGGACAGCCAGAGATCTAGGATAGAATCAAACGCAGCTGGCATAAGGAAAGAAAAAGTCAAAGGCGCCTAACTGTACTCTGCTGTACTCACAGATTGGCCCCGCACAGTTGCCATCAGAGAGGCTTCGTCCCGCAACTGATGGAAGCAGGTGCAGAGACTCACAGCCAATCATTAGATGAAGCTCGGGAACCCTGCGGAAGACCAGGAGGAGGGATTGTAGGAGGCAGAGGGGTCAAGGACGGAAGGAAAATCCACAGAACAGTTAAACCTGAGCTCCCAGGGGCTCACAGAGACTCAACAACCAGGGAGCCTGCATGGAACTGCCCTAGGCCCTCTGCATATAAGTTACAGTTGCATAGTTTGGCCTTCTTGTGGGGCTCCTAACCATGGGAGAGGGGGCTGTATGATTCTTTTGCTGGTTGACTTTTAGGACTCTATTCCTTATACTGGGCTCCCTCGCCCCGCCTTAATATGCGGGGAGATGCCTAGTCTTATTGCTACGTGATAAGCCATGTATGGTTGCTATCCGTGGGAGGCTGGCCCTTTCCTGTATAGAAACAGGAGGAGTGGATGGAGATGCGGGGCGGGTAGCCTGGGAGAAGATGGGGGGAAGCCTTCAGTCGCTGTGTAAAATAATCATCATTAAATATAAACTAGGTTAAGATTTACAGGGGGCTCTGCAGATTTACAGGCAACGTTGTGAAAGTAAAAACAGTGACCAAGACAAACACCGAAGACACACTTGTTGAAGGTGAAGCGAGCTGTTGAGGACAGACCCATTACGGAGAGCGGCTCACTGAGCAGCGAGCCAGACATCTCAACAGTATCTGTCCCACGTTCTCTGAGAATGGCCCTAACCATTTCAGGGTATGGGGAGCTCTCCCAAGAAACCATACGTCCTCCTCGGCTCCAGCGGCCTGAGGAAGATCCCAGAAGCGGTCATGCTTGCCCTGTAGCTCTCCTCTCTATAGGGCAGTGTGTTGGGCTCCCCGTGGTGGCATCGGGCCCCAAGAAGACCGGAGTCCGTGCATAACCAAGTAGACTTTGTTTCACACAGCCTTTTGTAACACTAGAAATAAATAAATAGGGTAGGGGAGAGGTCTTCATCCCCACGCAGTACCCGGAGAATTGTGAAAGCAAGAATGTCCTTAAGAATTAGTGTTCAAAGCCATGACATACATGACAGAGAGCTCTAAATAGCATTCGTGTTGGAGAAGTGATATAGAAATAGACAAGGATAAATAATGTCTTTAGCCATAGCTGATTAGAGAAATAAAGAAATTCCTAAAGTGACTGGGTGTGGTATAGCCCATGCCTGTAATCCTAGCACTTGGGAGCCGAGGCAAGGTCAACCCAGCCTGGGCTACAAAGTGAGACCTGTCTCAAAACAAAACCCTAAGGCAGAAGTTAGTGTAGCCATCTCATTGTGGTAAAATACCGAGACTTTCTTAATTTGGTAGGTGTTTGCTGATCTTGTATGTGCAGAATGATGCTGATGTTAGCAAGCATCTGAGGGCTTGCCTTCCCCTGGGCCTGTTTCCTCTGGTCAGTAAAGTAGCCTCAGGCCGAGGCAGACACTTATGCCGTGGGACAGATGTGCAAAGAGACACTTGAGAATCACAGCACACTCCCTTTGCACACTCCCTTTGATGTGCTCTGAAAGCGTCTCCTCTCTTGCAGGCATCTGAAGTTGAGAGACAACTGTCCATGCAGGTCCACGCACTCAGAGAAGACTTCCGGGAGAAAAACTCATCCACCAACCAGCACATCATCCGGCTAGAGAGCCTTCAGGCTGAGGTGAGGCTCCTGTGTGGCGCACTTGAAGCTGTGCACTGGGTCTTTGGAGAAAGAGTCTCTGAGCTTGGGAGTAAACCCTCTGACCTCTATAAAAAGTACTGAAGCATCCGAGAGACATTTCCGTGAGAACTTAAGTGGGGAATGCTTGATCCTTGCTCCTACAGGTAGCCTGCTGCCTGGAAAAATAAAGATGTTGATAATTACAGCTGAGGGAGTTGAAACCACGAATGGCCTACTTTTTACTGAATGATGTCGACAAGAAACACCCTTGCTAGCCCCACGCAAAAACCGGGGAAGGACATTGTCCCATTCTTCATTGCTCTTAGTCTGACTCACCATGTTTCAGGTGTCATTCAAAGTACTCTCAATATTAACTCTCCGAAAAGCCTCACAGAGTAGTAGAACAGAAAGTTGTATTTTGTAGAAGAGCATAACAGCAGATGCCATTGAGGAGTTAATAATGACAGTACTTTGCGTGGTACCTGAAACGTGGCGGTGGCGGCGGTGTGTGGCGTAGCATATGCAAGGCCAGCGTGTGGCAGCGAGGGTGTGGCCCTGGCTAGAGCGGGAAAAGGAGAACGCAGTGTGGATGCTGCAGGCAGGGCAGGAGTCACCCAGGCACCGGAAAGGGCTCTCCCCAGGGCAGACTCCTCCCAATCCACTCTCAGGACCTGCATCCCCTCCGGCCAATCAGACTTTGAGAAACAATGTAGGCCTGACAGAGGGAGCCCCCTGTTCTGTGGTCAGGGGGTCAGCCATTGTGATCAGTCCAGAGAAGCCTCCCCTGCATCCTAAGTGCCCTGAGGATGTTTGTCCTAAAGTCTGTCAATATCTTCTCTTTTCTGCCTCCTCCCTTCTTCCCTCCTTTCCCTTGGGATTCCTACCGATATTGAGCAGCAGGTTCTTGAAGTAAGTAGAGATGCTCCAGCGGGGTTTCGGCATGCCTGTCTGTGACCATTCGTGTGCATGACTTGCCATCCAGCTGCCCCCGCCAGGCGTCCGCCCCTTCAAGTTGCCTGCCTTCCTCTTTGTCCCATCTGTTCGCCTCCTCTAGCCCCTCAGGAACAAGTTTCCCAGGAAGGCCCGCCGCCAGGTTTGGTCACAAGTTTCAGGGTCTGTAGGGGTCGGGTGAGGAAGTTGACAGCCTAATACGAAACCCTGGCTTCCTCTAGTGGCACTGATGTTTGAAGGACGAAGCCGTGAGACCTTTCGTTTTAAATCAGTGACTCCACGAAACCTTGAAAATTAAGTGTTTCTTAAGGGCCAGTGGTGTATCAGAATCGTGTCACCTCATTACATTACTGGAAACCTGGGAAACAAAGATGATCCATGGGAAGGAGAATTGAAAGGTCAGAGGGCGCTTAAATGAAAAGCGCTAGAGTGGAGAGTCCCTTAGCATGGGTAAGTGTGCTTCAGATAGAGGGATAGTGGGCCGGTCACCAAAGGCTTGCCCCTTCTGCTCTCTTACCAGGTACACACTTGAGAGACAATATTTCTTTGTTTGGACAGACATCCGATCTCTCTGGACAAAGGCCATATACCCTCACTTCCCCAGGACAGCATCCTATCTGATTGTTTGGTGGCCAGGGAGGACATGAGCCCTGAGCAGAACTCCATTGCAGAGTGGGGGCGGCCAAGAGGCAGAGGGAAAGGTAGAGCCCAGGGGACCTAGAACAGTCAAACACTTACTTAATTCTCCCCTGGCAGAGTGCTGAGTTCGGTCCCCAGAGCTTACTGAGGGGAGACTTACTGAGGAAGACTTAAGTCGTTCTCCAGGCTGGACCACAGACAAGGGGACTCTGTGAGCACAGCAGGGAAGTGTTGACGCCGCGCAGGTGGATGAGGACTGAGTATGACAGGACTGAGGAGCAGGGCCAGGAGATCTCAGGACTTCAGAGTCCGGCTCTTCCCCCCCAGAGCCAGCTCTATGTGGGGAAGCTCTCTGGAGCCCCTGGACAGGGTGGTGTCCTGGATAAGGTATCTCTGGCCTCCAGGGGCACTGACTGAGCTTCCTCCCTGCAAACATGGAAACCAGAGAAGACTGGGCATCTCTTTCCTCTGCTTTCTCCCTGCCGCCGAAGAGAGCGGACAGGCCTTACAAAGAAATACTTGTGTCTTGACACTGACTTCAATGTGCAAAAAAGAAAGGAAGGAAAAAAGCCTTGTCCATGAGGGAGATCTTTTCACAGGTTTCTTGTTCAAATTACCCATGAGACCACCGTCTCGCGCTCATGTAGACGCACTCCCTCCTGCACCCAATAGCTTCTCCTTAGCCAGGGCCCTGGGTTCGAGCTGGATGGTTGGCACCAAGGGAGTCAGCAGTAGGGAGAGGTGGCAGCTCCCAGGGCAGATCAGGCCCGGCCCTGCTAAAGCTGAGGGCGGGCAGGGTGGAGCCTTCTCTGACTTATCTCTGGAATTTACAGAGCACTAACTACCCTTCCTCTGCCTGGCAGCCCACACACTGGCTTCCCCTGGGCTGACTTCTTCCCGGGCAGCTTTCAAAGGGGAGGGCCTTTCCCTCCAGCCCAGGACTACACAGCCCTGTCCTCCACGATGAACCCTACATCTCTGGGCACAATACCCAGAGACACACACCTACCTCTCTGGGGCAAGTCCTTCCTCCTTCCTCAACCAGACAGAATTCCACACCACCCTGTGGATCTTCATCATTTCAGATCAAGATGCTGTCGGATCGGAAACGGGAGCTGGAGCATCGGCTCAGCGCTACCTTAGAAGAGAATGACCTGCTTCAAGGCACTGTGGAGGAGCTGCAGGACCGGGTGCTGATCCTGGAAAGACAGGGCCATGACAAAGATCTACAGGTACTGGGCACAGGAGCGCCCCCTAGAGCTAGGGCCGGACAGTGGGAGTGCTTAACTAGAAAGAAAAGGCCCTGAGGCCAGCAACACTCACTGCTGGTGTCCAAGTAGGTGACCGAGACCCCCACATGGGTCTTATAATTCCCCCGGGGACTCCACCACGTCTGTGGCTGGGGTAAGTATGCTTGTTGTCTTCAGATCGTCCCTTCTGTGTGTTCTGAGCCGCTTGCCCCTGGAGCAGTGTCACACACTTCTTTCTAGGCTGCTGATGGCTGGAGCATTCAGAGTCTTCTTCTGGCCTCCTAGCATTTGTGAAATCTGCTAGAAGCTTCCAAAGGGAGCCTGTGGATCTCTGTGCTCAGCTCCCAGTGCTCGATGCTGCTGCCGCCCAGCACAGGGATTTGGTGACTGACACAGCAGAAACCGAGAACCTTCCCACAGAACCCAGCAAGACATTCTCAGCTTCTGGTATTGCCAGAAAAGGCACAGGCCAACCCCTTTGTGAACCTAATTGATCTTTTTTTAACCTCCCTAAGGGAAACTGCTTCTTAATCATGTTTGTCCTTGTTTGTGAACCGCCACCAGATGAAAATCCAAGCCCAGAGTTGACAAGAAATAACCTCTGAAACAGAAAAATAATCTCCCAGTCTCCCCAGAAATAGAAGGCAGTGTCTGTCCCCGAGGTGCTTTGCTGGGCTGGGCCTGCAGAGTAGGAGAGCATCATTTCCCTGTGGGCATGGTGGGACAGTGGGTCCTTTTGGTGTCACTTGTGGACAAGTGGTTGGGCAGGTAATACTTGAATGTCCGGTGAGTCCCTACCCAAAGACCAGGCCACAGAGGTCCCACTGGGTTCAGAGGGAAACGATTTAGAAGTTCTGGTGTGAGATGACATTTTAACTGAAGCCGAACGTGGTGGTACATGCTTGTATGATCCCAGCACTTGGGAGGCTGAGTCAGAAGGAACCTGAGTTCAGAGTTAATCTGGGCTCTAGCTAGTTCCAGGCTAGGCTGGGCTGTATGGAAACTGTCTTCTGAGTCTGGAGTCTAGTAAGAACCCTTGTTACTCACTGCCTTTTTTAGCTCAGCTGTAGCTAGGCAGTTTGCCTCTGAGAGACCTTTAGTAGTCCTTTTTTTCTTCCCTCTGATTTTTGTTCTTTCAACTACTAACTTTCCACATAGTAGGGACTCCACGAATGTTGAGAGAAAATGGGGCTGGGGTGTAACTCTGTAGAGGGGGCCTTGGCCAGCAAGCGTAGCCCCTGGTTTCTGTCCCCAGCACCACAGAAATGGAATGGAGGCCAGGGAGGGAAGGGAGAATGGCCAGGTCTAAAGCCTCACAGCAGGTGTGGCTGTTTTTCAAGGTTGATGATGATAAAGGCAGGCTCGTAGACCACTTTCAGGTGAGCTGAATGCTCCCATGCACCGCTCTAACCCCCGAGTGCTCCCATGCACCAGCGTGGTCCTCCCAAGTGCTCCCTGGTGTAGGTGGGCTGTGTGTAGCGCCAGGAACTTGAGGTGATGCCTGCTAATTGGCATTCAAGAGAAGAGGTCACACACTCACACAGGAGCCCCCAGCAAGCCAGAACAACCCCACCCTTTTTGAAGGATCATGTTTATTCTCACCTTTCCTACTTGGTAACTGTTTCTGTCTGTGCCTTCTGTTTATGTAAAATCTCCTTAAGTTGCCACTAGTTGCTAGTGTCCTCCAGAAAGCCCTGTCACCGAAATGGTCTCAACTGACAGGGGGGGAAAATCCGGCTGACCCAAGTAGTGCTTTGAACAGTCCTAACTCAGATTTGTAAAATGTGCAGTCAGTGGCCTTGGAATGTGTTTAAGCTCTTGATTTTAAATCCTCAAAGAAGGTTGGGTAGGAGGCTAAGCAGCAAAGGCAAAGCCTCCATCGGCAGGGAAGCTTCTTTGATCTGTCTTACTGTGTTCCTGGGGTCCCGCTGTCAAAACCCTTTTTATACATTTGAGTGTGTGCGCGCATGCGTGCGTGCGCTTGTGCGTGTGCGTGTGTGAGCGTGTGTGTGTGTGTGTGTGTGTGTGTCTGTGTTTTGTGGAGCTGCATGTGCCTTAGTACACAGGTGCAGGTCAGAGAGGAATTCATCACTTCTCAACCCCTAACACATGGGTCTCGAGGGTCAAACCAGGTGATCAGGCTTAGTAGCAAGAGCCTTTGTCTACTGAGCAGTTTCTCCCCACCCCAAAACAGATTTTTAAACCAAAGATCAAATCCAGCTGTGCCTTTTGCTTTTGTTGTAAGACCGTAGAATAGGGATTAAAACTCACACTGTACTCACTTCAAAACAAGCATTTGTTAAATGTTTTTGTTTGGTTAGTTTTGGTTGAGACAAGGTCTCTGTTTAGTGCTGGCTGGCTCAGAATGTGATGGGGACCAGGGCTGGCCTTAGACTTGCTTCTCCAGTCTCTGCCTCTCAAGTGCTGGGATTACAGATACATGTGGCCATTCTGGCTTTACTGAACTGAGTAAAATACCTTTGTTTTAATACTCAGTAAAGAAGTCAGTTGTCACCGATGGTGTCAAACCCCTTTAGTCCCAGCACTCGGGAGGCAGAGGCAGGCAGATCTCTGTGAGTTCAAGGCCAGCCTGATCTACAGAGCAAGTTCCAGGACAGGCTCCAAAGCTACAGAGAAACCCTGTCTCAAAAAACCAAAAACAAAACAAAAAGTCAGTTGTCCTTCTAAGGGGCTCTTAGCTCCTTACAGACATGCATAGGGCCTGACCCTGGCAGTAGGTAGGCTCCATCAGCAGAGTGTAGGCCCTCATCTCTGCGGGGTAACCCATGAAGCAGAGGTCCTGGGGTCCTGGGCAAACCCTGTGCCCTCACACCATCTTAGTCCCCTCAGTGTCAAGAGAGGACAATGTCCCCACTGCTCACGTTAGTACTGTGAACTCAAACTTACCACTGTACTAATAAGAGCATTTCATGTCATCCCTTTCCATACGTAGAAATACACTGAGATCTTTCTTAAACAATGGAGTTATTTCTTGTTTTCTGGTTTTTCTAGATGGGGTTTGTCTGTGTAACCCTGGCTGTTCTGGAATTTGCTCTGTGGTCTCAAATTCAGAGATCCACCTACCTCTTGCCTTCTGAGTGCTGGGATTAAAGGCATGTGCAGCCATGCTTATCTAGATAGTATTTCTTTTTACAGGGTTCCTATGGTTACCAGGCTCTTGCATGGTTTGATTTGATTTTTCTGCACATCTGTCCAGAGAATGAGGCACCTCCTGGCCCTTTGTTCTCTTGCTGTTACAATTAATCAAACACCTCCTGAGTGTGTGTGAGTAATTGAACTAATTGTATCCAGTGCACGAGAACTTGTTCTTAACAGTAGGAACGTCTCCTGCCGAGATGGATGTAGAGTTTCCTGGAGAGTAATTGTAAAGCATTTTGCCACTTGACATGCTATTGTAATTGTACTGAGTGCTTCCTAGGGATGGCTCTTTATTCCTGTGACCCTGCTTTGTACTATTTTATTGTTTCTTTCTTTCCAAGTTTCCTAAAACTGGAGCTGGAGGAGTTCCCACTGTACCAGCAGGCGATGCTGAGCAGGGAGTAGGCAGAGCAGCTTGCCCGGTGGCCAGTTCTTGTCGCCCAGTCAGCATCTGGGCTCTAGCCCTTCCTAGTCAGGCTCACTGGGGCCCCTAGAGGATTGGCTACAGTCTGTGGAGGAAGCTCTGCCTCCTTCAGTGAGACCAGAGCTCTGAGTCGCTGCCATCCGTCCTGTGGCCTCTGCATCTGCAGGGGCCAAAGTGGCTCAGCGGAAAGTCCAGAGAGCGCAGCACAGCCACCCTGCAGCGCTGAGCGTGGCCCCTACAAAGCCAGCCCTCAAGCCTGAGCTCCATGCCCAGCCCAGCCCTGGCCATGTTCAACTAATGGCGGTCTGAATGCAGGAAATAGATGTGTACACTACCACACCAGCTGTCCTCTTTTTAATGAAACAGAGATGGCTTCACAAAGACCTTTTATAAAAGAGTAAATTTAAATCCCAGGGGAGGGGGGACGCTGTGTGTGTGTCTGTGTGCATGCATGTTGAGTGTATAGGCACATACGTGTGTGAGCCTGTGGATACCTGAGATTGGTGTTAGAGTCCTCAGTCACTCTCCACCTTATTTATTACTCTCTCTCTCTCTCTTTCACACAGACACACACACACACACACACACACACACACACACACACACACCATAATTTAAAGAATTTGGAAAACTAAGTTCACTCTTTAAAACCAAAAATACCTTGATCTCTCTCTCTCTCTCTCTCTCTCTCTCTCTCTCTCTCTCTCTCTCTCTCTCTCTCTCCTCTCTCTCTCTCTCTGTGTGTGTGTGTATACTCATGTGCTGTGGAACACAGAGGTTAGAGGACAGTCTCCAGGAGATGGTTCTCTCATTGTGGGTTCTGGGAATCAAATCCAAGGCCCATAGACTTGTGTGGCACAAACTTTGATCTGATGAGTGAGATCCCACCCTCCGCCTCAATCTTTTTATGATTTTTTTTTTTTTTTTTTTTTTTTTTTTTTTTTTGAGACAGGGTTTCTCTGTGCAGCCCTGGCTGTCCTGGAACTCGTTGTGTAGACCAGGCTGACCTTGAACTCACAGAGATCCCGTCTGCCTCTGCCATCCAAGTGTTGGGATTAAAGGTGTGTGCCACCACTGCCTGGCCTACTTATTTTTTAACCTTTCCTTTATGTGTATGGGTGCTGTGCCTGTATATGTGTCTGTGTACCACATGCATGCTTGCAGTGCCCTCAGGGACCAGAAGAGGGCATCGGGTCCCCCGACCAGGAGTTACAAACGGTTGTAAACCACCATGTGGGTGTTGGAACTTAATCCCTGGTCCACCTCTTCCTCCCCACCTTCTTCATGCCCTTCTCCACTCCCCCCCCCAAAGCAGGGTTTCTCTGTCCCAGAACTCACTCAGTAGACCAGGCTGGCCTCAAACTCACGGAGATCCACCTGCCTCTGCCTCCCAAGTGCTGGGACTGAAGGCGTGCGCCACCAATGCCATCCATATCTTGAGATTTTTGTTTGGTTTTGTTGTTGGCTGCTGTTGACTCTCTTTTTAACCAAGCTGGCCCCAACTTTGGCACCCTCTTGCCTCTACTCCCAAGTACTTGAACTGCACACCTGTGCTACCATACCAACCCCTTGAGTCTTTTGTTTGTTTTGGTTTTTCAAGACAGGGTTTTTCTGTGTAGCCTCTGCTGTTCTAGAACTCACTATGTAGCCCAGGCTGTCCTCAAAGTAACAGATCTGCCTGCCTCTGCCTCCTGAGTGCTGGGATTAAAGGCGTGCCCTGCCATGCCTGCCCCTTGAGTCTTTTGAATAACTGGGTTCTTCTGTTAAGACTTTTCCTGTAGAGTTTCCCAGAGCTGGGTCTTGCTGACGGTGCTCCCCTCACAGCCTGATACGTCCCTCCTGACGTACCTTCCTGTGAGTTGGTGACCCTGTGAGCAGGGTCTGGGCCTGAGCACTGCTTGCTTCGATTTGGATAAGCTGCCTAGCCTTTGCCGTCTGTCTTCCCCACAGCTGCACCAAAGCCAGCTGGAGCTGCAGGAAGTGCGGCTGTCCTACCGGCAGCTGCAGGTGAGAGTAGAGGAACTCACGGAGGAAAGGAGCCTGCAGAGCTCGGCCGCTACCAGCACGTCCCTGCTGTCCGAGATCGAGCAAAGCATGGAGGCCGAGGAGCTGGAGCAGGAGCGAGAGCAGGTGCTGGCCGCGCTGGGTTCTGGCAGGAGAAACGGGCCCAGGGTTCTGTTCCGTTCTCCTCTCCAACGCTGCGTTACCCCTTAGCCAAGGGCCATAGCGCCTGCACGAGCCCCTGTGGCCACAGGCTGGAGCAGTGATGCAGCCATGAATGGCCACTGAGACCTTGAGCAGAGCAGCTAGCGCGTAATGTCCTCTGCTCAGCCCCTCCCCGGGCCTCGGCAGTGACACAGAGTCCTCCCGACGACCCATCCTGTGTATGCCCTTAGTCTCTGTCTTCCGTAATCACCCCTCCCCCCAGCGAGGCCCCGATTCCAACCAGTGCAGCCAATTATAGAGCAGAAATACTTTGTATGGCGGATTAGTTGGTTAGAAGGGAAGTAAGAATTGCTGGTAGCCATGGGAACTAGGAAGACCGAGGCAGAGGAGTCACAGCAAGTCCCAGGCCAGCCGGGGCCCCACAGTAATCTCAAAAAGAATTCGAAAGTCTAGGTCCAAAGTAAGACCAAACCAGAGTGCCTGCTCCTCCTAAAAAACAGAGTTTCAGGTAAACACTAAACACGCCTGTAACGGAGTGACAACTTTGTGACCCAGCTGAGGCTGCAGCTCTGGGAAGCCTACTGCCAGGTTCGCTACCTCTGCTCACACCTCCGAGGGAACGACAGTGCCGATTCAGCCGTGTCCACAGATTCCTCCATGGATGAGTCCTCCGAAACCTCGTCTGCCAAGGACGTGCCTGCTGGCAGCCTGCGCACTGCCCTCAACGATCTCAAGAGGCTGATACAGAGCGTTGTGGATGGCGTGGAGCCCACGGTAAGGGTCAGCGACAGGACCCCTGGTCTCCCTCCTACAGACACCACGGCAGTGGCCCTCGGCCTCCCTAACGCTGTGACCTTTAACACAGTTCCCCATGCTGTGCTGACCCCACCCATAACATCATTTGCGTTGACACTTCATAACTGTAATTTTTGCTACTGCTATTAGTCCTAATGTAAATATTTCTTGGAGGTAGATGTTCACCAAAGGGGTTAAGGGCCCACAGGTTGGGAACCAGGGTTCCGTGGCATAGTCTTAAGAGAAATTTGTATCTGGGTAAAACTCTTCTGATGGTGGCTCACAGCTGTGGCTCTAGCGCTCTAGAGGCAGAGGCAGGTGGATCTCTGTGAGTTCCGAGGCCAGCCTGATCTATATAGTGAGTTCTAAGACAGCCAAGGCTACAGAGAAACCCTGTCTTCAAGAAACCAGGAAGGAAGGAAGGAAGGAAGGAAGGAAGGAAATCCCAGCCCAGGAGGCTGAGGAGCACAGGGTCCCTGAGAACCCAGACAAGGCCTCCTGTGGGAAGGGGGTTCCTGTGGCACCCGGGGTGGACCGGCATCCCCACAGCTTCATGATGGACGCTCTGACTTCTCTCCTGTCTCCCTCCCACAGAGCAGTTAGTGCTGTTCTGTTACTTTAGAGGCAGCACGTGGAAGGGTGGATGTCTGTCGAAAAGCCTGGGTTGGTTTGTAGGCTGGATGGCGGGAGGAGGGCGAGTCATTGTGGAATAAAATTTGAGATAAAGCAAGCTTTCCTAGGGTAAAATTAAACACGGAAAAACCTGTCCCTCGTCTTCGTCAGCCCCGCCTCCGTCAGCCCCGCCTCCGTCAGCCCCGCCTCCGTCAGCCCCGCCTCCGTCAGCCCCGCCTCCGTCAGCCCCGCCTCCGTCAGCCCCGCCTCCGTCAGCCCCGCCTCCGTCAGCCCCGCCTCCGTCAGCCCCGCCTCTAATGGTTGCTCCTTCTTCCCTGCTCGCTACCGCCTGCCTTACCCGCCTGCTTTCCGTCAGGGTGCCCGGAGGATGGACGATGACCCCTTGGAAGAGCAGATAAGGCAGACCAGTGCAGACTCGAGAGCCCTGAGAGAGCTCATGGAGGGGGAGAGGGGTAAACTGAGGCAGAGCCTAGAAGAGCTGCAGCAACTCCACAGTCAGGTGAGCAAACACCCCCACCCCCCACCCCCCACCCCCTCAACCCCTCACCTCCCCCACCCCTCCCTATCACCCACCTTCCCCACCTGTCCCTGGCAGCACCAGGGACAGGAAAGACGGATAGCTCGGCTGTGGCAGTTAGGAGCACTTGCTGCAGAGCACTTGCTGCAGAGCACTTGCTGCAGAGGACTCGGGTTCAATCCCCAACCTAGTGGTGGCTCAGTCATCCATAACTCCAGTTCCAGGGGATCCAGCCGTCTGCCCTGACCTCCGTAGGCACCTGGCACACACATGCTATACAACAAACATACATACATACATACATGCATGCATGCATACATACACGCAGGCAGAACACTCGTTCGCATGAACTATGTAAATCTTAAAAAAATGAAAGAAAAGCATGTATCCCATCAGTTCCCTGCCCCTGCTCACTGGTACCATAGGCTTAGGGGCACCTGGACAGCCTTTTCTGTGCACATTTTATGCAAGGTATTCAAGGCAGCGTGAGGCCAGGCATGCTCAGGGCGTCTGTAAACACTTGGGGCTCTGGTTGGCTCACAGACCCCACGGCTTGCTCCCCGTGGGTTACTCAGCCTGCTTTCTCACCCCACCCAGGAGCACTCGCACCCGAGCTACCATTCCCCCATCAGGGTGGGCTGGGCTGGTTCTCCTTCCAGATAATTGATTAAAAACACCTAGCTAGTTCACTGCTTGGCATACTCTGTCTTCATCCTTCTGGCCACTGGCATTACCAGCCCATTTGCCTGTGGTCCTGAGCCCAGCCACCGTCACGTGGTGGCAGTTTTCCTGTAGTGTGGCTTGAGTCATGGGCAGCTTCCATGCGAAGGCAGAAGTTCCAAACGGCACTTTCTCAAGGCTTCAACCCCTGTCCAGACTGTTAGAGACAGTCCAGCGCAGGGTGGGAGGCTCGGGCCTCCTAGTCCTTAGCAGGCTCTTCAGAATGCAAAACTCCAGGCAGTTAAGGACACGGGCTGCTCTTCCAAGGGCCAGCATCCACGTGACCACTTGCTCCAGTCTGTAACTCCAGTCCCAGGGGTCCAACAGTCTCCTCTGGTTTCAGTGAGCACCAGGCATGGGCCTGGTTCACAGACATGTGAGCAGGCAAAAACACACATGCCACACACGTGAAAACCTTTTTTTCCCTCTTACCTTTCTTTTTTAAAAGAGTGTAGCAAACCCCGTCTTCTTGCATTCATGCAGGGTAGCTGCTGGTTGTGTCTGGGAGCTTGATCTTCAGGTAGCAGCTCTTCCCTTAATGGGAGGGAGCAGACCCGGATGGGTGAATCCTCCCTTGGAAAAATGTCAGTGGGTGTATAGTACTTAGCGAGAGGGTGAGGCTAGGCACCCCTGTTCATGTCTGATCCTATCAATCTTCATCGCTTCACATGTTTATTGCAGTCTCTCTGAGACTGGTTGCTTGTGCACAACAGACATTTGCTTTGTGTAACTTAAGAAGAAAATGCATGCTGGAATTGAGTCTGCTAGTGTATAGGATACACGGTAAGAACAGCTGGACACCTCAGGTCCTAAACAGGAAGGGAGGGTCCTGGAAAGCAGTCTGCTGCCTGGTAAATAAATAGTTGGTACCGGGAGTTCAGCCTTGCCTCGCTTCTCCGCCCAGGCCTATGGGGTTGCTGGGTGGGGTAGCTGCGGGTAACTGGCAACTCTAGGTCACATGTCCAGACTGCGAAGGAAAGTAGATGCCTTCCTTATCTGGCTTTTCTAGTAGTGGGAGATCATCTCTGTCTCCCAGAAGGACAGACAGCCAAGAATGTCCCCCAAATAGTTGGGGTTTGGATTGACGACTACCTCAAAATGTCAGCTGCTGAGTGCACAAATGTTCTGGGATTAAGTACTATTTGCAGCCAAGCCCTGGGACATACAGATGGGTAGGGCACGCTTCCAGTGATTATGGTGCGTTTGGGCGAGGTCTCCTGTTGTGGGGTAGGACGGAATGTGTTGCTGGAGCAGCCGCCAGAGGAGCCCTTCACTGGGGGGATGCTAACTCCCAGGTTGGTCATGAGGGCTGAGCAGGTGCCCTTGGCCGAGGAGTGGGCCACAGAAGAGGTAGTGGGTCCAAGTGACAGGTGAGATTCCAAGTGGCTTTGATCTGTAGAGCTGGCTGGAAAGGTCAAGCTGTGCCAGGATCGAGACCCTGCCTCCAACAATGTGTTCAGAATCCTGCTGCACACGTGATCTCTTACGTGGTGACCTGGGAGCATCTCTCAGTCACAGCAGGGGTGTGAGGTGCTGAGGACTCTACTCCAGGGTGGCTTATCCGCTTCAGCCTCCTCCCCACAAGTGCCCCTGGGACCTGTGGACGCCCTATTTATTTATTTTAAGAAAAAAACTTTTCAAAGATGTATTTTGTCTGTGTGTGTATCAGAAGAGGCTGCCTGAAACCTCCAAGATGGAGTGACAGCCAGCTGTGAACCCAGGGTACTGGGGAGGAAACATGGGTCCTCTGAAGGGGTACAAAGAGCTCTTAACAGCTGGGCCCTCAAAATTGTGGTAGAGGTCAGAGGGCGACCTTGTGGAGCCAGTTTTCCCCATCTTTCACCTGGATCCTAGGGCTCACACTCAGGTGGCCAGGCTTGCACAGCAAGCTCCTTGGCCTGCTCAGCCATCTTGCTGGCCTCTGGGTGCCTTTCCCTTGTGGAGAAAGCGCTCGGGGCGGGGCCGCAGCAGAGTTATCACACACGTTTCCCTCTGATCCCGTTGCTAGGTGACGCTGCTAAGTGTAGAGATGACTGCACTGAAGGAAGAGAGGGACAGACTCAGGGTGACATCTGAGGACAAGGAGCCAAAGGAGCAGCTTCAGAGAGCCATCAGGGACCGGGATGAGGCCATTGCAAAGTGAGTGGTGGCGGGTTGTTTACTCTTACTGTGTGTGTGTGTGTGTGTGTGTGTGTGTGTGTGTGTGTGTGTGATGAATGCATAGCTGTGAGTTCCCTGTTGCCATCTCCGCTAGCACTAAAGATGCGGGCACAGAAGGCCGCGCCCAGCTTTTCACATGGGCGCTGGAACCTCCGTGCAGCAGGCGCCCTTCCTCCCTGAACTTCCTCTTCAGCCTCATCTACTTTCGTTTCTTTTTGATATAGTGCTTATTTTTAAATTTCTGGTGCCAGACAGCACTCAGGAGGCAGAGACAGGCGGATCTCTGTGAGTTCAAGGCCAGCCTGGTCTATACAGCGAGTTTCAGGACAGCCAGGGCTGTCTGTTATACAGAGAAACCCTGTCTAAATAAATAATATATGGAAATCCTATCGTAAGCCCACCATACTGTCATACATTTGTATCCCACAACTCAGGAAGTAGAAACAAGGGTCTCCAGTGTAACCCAGCCTCTGCCGCAATGTAAACTGAGAGCAGCCTGGCCTAGGATACATAGTAAGACCCTTTCTTGTGTGTGTGCGTGTGTGTGTGTGTGTGTGCGCACACACGCGCACACACACATACGCACTCACACACACAGTTAGTTATTCTCTCTACTTAACTGGGCCCCTAGGTAGACAGTGGTAGCGAAGCTTGGCTATATGACTTGAGACTTTTAATGTGGGTGTATTGCCGTATTTGTAACGTATTTGTTGTGTAGTTAGTTGGGTTTTTGTTTCCTTTTTTTATCAGATGCTACTGCGCATGGATTACAGCTCAGCTGTCCAGTGCCATTATGTGTATCTACCGCCCTTTTGTTATTTTTAGTTCCTTTTTAAAAAATTTATTATGAACATTCTTGAATATATACGAAAGAAGAAACATAAGAAGACCCTCATCTCCCCACCTGTCAGGGTCAGCATGAATCTCATAGCTGGGTTCTTTGATCTGTGACCTCAGATCAAATCCAGTAGGGACCAGGTCCTGTCCTGTCTTGTCCCTTCGTCCATGGACATTTCAGTTTGCTTTCCTAACCGGCACAGTGTTATAGTCGGATAATTGGTCGGGTGGGGTTTTTTGGTTTTGTGAGGTTTTTTTCTGTTTGTTTTGGTTTTTATGGTAAGGAGTAAGCCCAAGGCCTCATCTTTGCTAGGCAAGTATTTTGCCAATAAACTGTATTCCACTGTGAAAACGATGTCTAGCTAGGTGTTGGTGGCACATGCTTTTAATCCCAACACACCGGAGGAGGCAGAGGCAGGCAGATCTCAGTGAGTTTGAGACCAGCCTGGTCTACAAGAGCTAGTTCCAGGACAACCTCCAAAGCCACAGAGAAACCCTGTCTAGAAAAAAAGAAAAAAATTTTTTTCTTAATATTAAGCATCTAGTCAGTGTTCTTAAACCTCCTCCCCGAGTGCACACAAGTTACCCCATAAATGTAATCTTAGTTGTTTAGAATCTGTCTCTGTGAGTTCAAGGCCAGCCTGGTCTACAGAGTGAGTTCCAGGACAGCCAGGACCACACAGAGAGACCTTGTCTCAAAAAACAAAACAGATAGACAGACAGACCTGGCTCGTGTGTTCACCTGACTGACGTGCTCTGAGAGCCTGGGATATCCCCATTTCTTGCCCCTCTTAACCACCTTGATTGGTGAGGAGCGGGATCTTTGTCTCACAGTCTCTGCTAACCCATTTATCCCCAGTAACCCAGGTCACTTTGTTGAATATTGTTTTCACAAAAGAAGTGTATAAATGCAATTTTTTTCCATTTAACAGTTTGGAAACACGGAGGCAAAAGTGTCTTTTCACGTGGTCCACTTTTCCTGGGAGTTGGTTGGTTTGTTATGCAGCTCAGGCTGGCCTCTAACTTGAAATTATCAAGTAATGGGACTGCAGGAACACTCCGGGACACCCAGCTGACACCCAGTCATCCACTCCTTTCCCTGAGGAGATAAAAGTTTAAAAAAAAAAATGCCTTTGCTCTCAAATACCTGTTTTTTGTTTGGTTGATTGGTTTGTTTGGCTGGTTTTTGGTTTTTTGTCTGTTTCCGAGTCAGGGTTTCTCTGTGTAGCCCAGGCTGTCCTGGAGCCAGCTTTGTGTATCTGGCTGGCTTCCAGAGGCCCGCGCCACCACCCCAGGCTTGGTAAGCTTTTCCGCTGTGCTCACCAGCGCCACCTCCAGGCCTGCTGACCCTCCGGGCCTGACTTCCTTTCTCACCCGCTGCCTGCCTTTGGTCTTTTCATCGTCTTGTCTTTCTGACCACTTTTTTCTCTGGTCACACCTGACAATGATTGGATTGTCTGTCACTTCTAGTCCACTTTCAGGGACTGAGTGTGACATATCGCAGGAAGGCCCTTACGCCTGTCTGTGTGTGCCCGTGGGGTCCCCAGGATGTCTCTGGTTCTGCATGAATTATAATCGCCCAGGGCCTCCGCAAGAGAGTTCAGTCTGAATGGCCGGGGTGGGCTGCTGCTTTACCTAGTTATTTAATATGTATTCAAGGGACTGAGACACCCTCACTAAGCCGGGCTGCAGGGCCCTCAAGGGGTTGGTTTGTCTCACACGATAGATGAGGTCCAGGAAAAGCCCAAGCAATCTTATCACCATGCAGCTGAAAAGCACTCACAGAAGTTAATCTGGCAGGTGAGAAATTGTACCACTGACCCACGGATCTGGACACTGTAAGTTAATCTGCTTTACAAAAAGTCCTAGTGACTTCATGTATATGATTAAGAATATGATTGCTGTATTGGTCAGCGACCTGTGGAGCTTTGCCTTCTGCGTCTGGGGCTCCTTGTGAAGACTCCCTTTCGATCACCTCACACTGCAGCTCTCCCCAGGCCCCTGGCATTAGTCAGCACATTCCCCTAGTGCTGGGCTGCTTGTGGCGCCATCTGCTGGCAGACATATGGTTACCTCCTGAGCCCAGAGCAGCTGGGAGGGGGGCGCCTGGGGTTTGTGAACTGTCAGGCAAATCGCGTCCATGGCAACCGCTGCTCTCTAACAACCAATGGCAGTGGGCATGACGAAGCAACCTGCGGTATCCGAACCATTGCCCATTGGATAGGCTTGGCCCTATCCCTGTTGCCTGCAGCCGCAGTGGGCGGGGCCGGGACGAACCCAGAGTTGTCTGGAGCTGCCTATAGGGCAGTGTGGTGGATGATGCACCAGTCTGGGGCAGGGTGGGGATCGCAGGTGACTAATTGCTGGATAGAGGGTAAAGGGAGGGGGGAAGTATGGTCTGAGTCTCACCTATTCCTTCCGGCTTTGCTTGGTTAGTGTGTTGTTCTGAGGCCAGAGCCCCGCCTCTGCAGGCCAGTTCTGCAGCTCTGCACGTGTGCTTTGAGGCAGCGCAGTTAACTGACCCCTCCCACCCCAGTGGGCCCATTTTCTTTTCTTTTTTGCATTGATTGAGCAACTATAATGTAATAATGTTGGAAAGGTGAGCAAAACAGCACCCAAAACGTGCAAATTTGAAAATACTGAAGCCTGTGGGCAGAGTTAGCATCGGTGACATCGCCACACATAATCCGCTGTATTTCTGTGTGTTGTGGGTTGAGACACTAGCAGTTTTATTTCACAAAGCACGACCTCTTCCTCCCTGTGTCCATTATGATAAACTGTCAGTAATTATCCTCCGTCTGGGTTTTTACTGCTGCCCGCATTGTATTGTCTCTTTTATTTTGAAACCGTTCCCTATTAATTGGTTACTAGAGTTGCTAAACTGTGGTTGCCATTATGTGGCCTCCTGCGAACATCTTTCTCTTAGAGACAGTTCCTTTAGCGTGGCTAGTCCACAGCAGGAGGAGAAGGTTCCCACCCTGCAGTGTGCAGACTTATGGGAAGGGTCAGCAAGCAGCTCCTTTGTGAGAGGCCCTTGGTCCCCTCTGGGCTCTGGTCCTCATAGGATGCTGTGCTATGAACCATCCTCTGTGTCTCCTGTTTAGACCTGAGAGATCAGCACTTGTCACAGCTTGGCTAGGATGTTTGAATGACCCTGTGGTGTAGGGTCAGCCCTTTCCCTACCCTTAGACTCCAGATGCTTCTGGCACAGGGTGCCACTCACGGTGGTTTGTCTGTTTGCAGGAAGAATGCTGTAGAGCTGGAACTTGCCAAGTGCAAGATGGACATGATGTCTCTGAACAGCCAGCTGCTGGATGCCATTCAGCAGAAACTGAACCTCTCACAGCAGCTTGAGGCTTGGCAGGTAAACGGGAGCCTGAGCCCTGGGTGGGGTTGTGCCACGAACTGTCCCTGATCATACATCAGTAAGGGGAGTTTTGACAAGAGGGCCCATGAGTGCAGGTGACCAGGAGCCCCCGTTTTCACCTGTGGAGACCCCAGGGAAGAATGCCTGGAGAGTGGCCTGGAGACAAAGGTCACACAGCCTGACAGGAACGTGCTGCCAGCATGGAGGGGCCTCCCCCTGCTGCTCACACTGGTTTCAAACTAAGGCTGGGGCAGGGAAGGCCCCAGCCTTAGTGTGACTGGATGAAAGCTCACCTCCGGGTTCCGCTCAGCAGTCTTCAGGCAGTTAGTTGCTGCCCTTCCCTCCTCAGAGCTCCGTGGCTTCCTTTGTCCGTGGGCACCATGCTGGCGCGCTCCTGGAGGCAGTGAGCCAGTGTGCTGGCTCTAGGAGCCATCTTCAGGGTCTTCTGACTCCTTACCGCCCGGGGGCTGTGGATGGATGAGGTTGGGGTAGGCTGATGTCAGTGTGGGTCTAGTGGTTAACGTCTGTCTTCAGATGGAAAGTCACCTGTGACTTAGAGGTGAGCCAGCCCCGCGTGGCATGCAGAGTAGCAGTGACCATTACGCGCGGCTCTGTGGGGCTGGCAACCACAGTCCTGGCTCCTGTCAGGCCAGCTAGCCAGAGCCCTGGCTTACCACAGCTGTTCTTTCTTCTCTCCCAACCACAGTTTGCTTCCTCAGGGCTTTTTACTATCTGGCTCCTTTGGTTTCTGATCTAGTGGCCTTTCTCAGTTCCTGTACCAACAGCTTTAGTTGTACACCCCTCCTGCCTTTGAGGTGAGATTGAGCCTCGCGTCCATTCATCCGCTTCCCTCTGCCATCTCTGCCCTGCACCTGCCACCTCTCCATGGTCCTGTGTCCCGGCCTCATCTGTGCATTGTGACGTGCCATGAGTCCAAGCCTCCTCTCCCCCACCCATCACTGCTGTGAGTTTGGCAGCTCCGGCAGGCCAGTGCCACCTTACCATAGATAGACCTTTACCACAGGAACAGCGGCAGGCATGGGGTCGCGACCAGCTTATGCACGTGTGTGAAGTTCCTAGGGGATGCGTTCCATGGAATCGGCTCGATAAATTTGGTATTTAAAGCATAAGCATGCAGTTTGAAGTGACTTTGCCAGAGGAACTGAAGGACTTCTTCCTAGAGGTCTCTGGCTTTCCTCCTTGGTACTCAACTGTTTGAGCGAGTTTGTCCTGAGTTAGAGTACTGTGCTAAGATTCCACACTGAGGCTTTGGAGGTAAACGGGAGATGAGACTGGCAGGGATGAGGTGGAGGGTTAGAATGGAGAGATAATAGGGTGCTCAGTGCCGCCTGGTGACGCTCAGGGAGGACCCTGGTTTCACCCTGAAACCTGCAGATACACTCAGGTTACACCCACAGAGTAGAGCTTGAGGCAAACGGGTGACAGACAAGCAGGTTGGGAGGGGTCAGGCTCTCTCTCCCGGTTTGTGCCCTCATGTCCCAAGTGTCTGCTCAGGGCCACCTCTGCCTACTGCACGGAGCCTACCCCAAGCGGGCCTCCTCTGTCATGCTTGCCTTGTTTTAGGGTGTTCTTTTGCTTTGTTCTGTTTCTTGGGTTTTGGTTTTCTCAGAGCTCACAGCTAGGTTAAAAGCTGAAGGAAGAGGAAGGTGCTGGGTTTGCTCTCTGGTAATCACACTGAGCACCTTGTAAACTGATTTAGTAGCAGAGCCCATTGCCAGATTTCCACAGTCAGAATCTAGTGACTAGAAAGGAACTGTTCAAAGCTGCTGTTCTGTAAGGCAGGGCAGGGGCAATGTTCTAAGTAACCAGATAATTAGAGGGGTACGGTTCTTACCCCATGGGGAAGCTAATAGGAGTGGGGCTGAGTTGGAACAAGACAGCATGTCAAGATGACATTGCCCCGTTTTAGCTGAGAGCTGGCCGGAGGGGTGAAGGCAGTCCCAGACATATAGCCGCGGCCTCTGGTCTGTGGCCATTAGTTACTTAGCCTGAAAGGGGTTAGTTAGGACACAGGTAGCCTGTTAAAGCCAGGTCAAGGGCATCCAGACAGCCCCATGAGCTAGTGTGGGGGCTGCTCTGCTACCTCGGCCTGGGGACCCTGGCTCTGAGACAGCGCTACATGGCACTGTGTCCTGGCACGGCTCCGGTGTTCACCATTTTTGCTCCACCAGCCCCAGCTGCTGTGTTCGCTCATCACATCCCTCGTCTTCACCTTTGGCCTTGACATCTGTCACCTCCCTGTCCAACCCTGGGGCCAGGTAAGAGCAGCTGCTTACCACGCCCCTCTCCTCTCTGCAGGATGACATGCACAGGGTCATTGACAGGCAGCTGATGGACACGCACCTGAAGGAACAGAGCCGGCCTGCTGCTGCCGCCTTCTCTAGGGGCCATGGCGTAGGGCGGGGGCAGGAACCCAGCACCATGGATGGCAAACGGCTCTTCTCCTTCTTCAGGAAAATTTAAGTGGGGAAGAGTCCGACGGTTGAGGATGGGGACTAGAGGCAGTCCAGGAGGGTCTCCAGTCAGCTGCAGCTGGGCAGCTACGGTGCCTGCCCAGCTGCCCTGGGGCCAGGTGGTTCCAGAGCCCACCCTTCTGTCAGTGCAGTGGGGTCTGAGAATTAGGGGCCTGTATGGCTCTATACCAAGGACAGGAATGAACCCTGTCCCCACTGCCCAAGCCAAGCCTCAGCCTGGGCTTCCCCAGGATCCTGTTAGTGAGCAGGGCTGAAGCCACTTCCCATGCAGACCACGGATGGGCTCTGCTACTCAGACCCAGCTCATCACAGCCCCTCCCCCAAAGGCTCTGCTGCCTCCTTGGATTTGAACATGGGGACAGAGATTGAGGCCCTCCTGTGCATGCCTCAGGAGGCCTGAGCCTCCATCCCTGCCCCGGCCACTTGCCTGGACAAGGGGAGGCTCAGCCCCTCACCCGTGTGCTCACCCGTGTGCATGCACCCGTGCTGGGGTCTTGAACGGCAGGAGCCCAGCCTGTGGCTGTGGGGCCTAAGAACTGGGTTACCCAAGTTCCCTTGAGGCTGTTCTGTACCCCGGGGAAGGGACTGTCTTCTGGCTGCCACCGCCTCAGCTTCCCCAGCGCAGGCAGTCCTGACCTAGTGAGGCCTGGGCTGGCGGCACCCCATTGATCCTCTGTAGGCGCTAGCCTTCCAGACTTTTCCCCCTCATGGGGTAGGGCTGGGACAGCCCTTGTCTTCCATAGCTCCCTCCCACCTCAAATACAACCGGGCCGAGCCGAGCAAGTTCAGGCCACAAATGGCCCCAAGGGGACTAGTTTAACCACCGGCACACAGAAGGCAGCGTGGGTGCCCCAGGGTGGGTGGGGCGAGGCTGCTGGAGCTTCCAGATACTGCCCCCAGGCCTACAAGGGCTGCAACCTGCAGCCTGCTCCTCCTGCACTGCCCCATCCCTGCTGAGGCCCCGCTGAGGCGCTGTGGGCCCGGCCTGTGGCTGCTCACCACTCACCAAGCCTCTGCCCTCAACAGGGAAAGCACAGCAGGGCTGAGCAGAAAGAATGTATTTACAGATATGTACATACCACAGTGCTGTAATTTTGTATGTAGCAGCTGTGTAAATACACGTACGGATTTTATAATACACATAAATCTATAAAGGCATATTTTTAGAAAAACAGCATACCACTGCTTCTTTTGAAAATAGTCTGAATAAGAATAAAACTAATTTCTACACAACTTCTGCCTCCGTTCCTGGGTGTGTGGAGGGTTGTTTTGTCAAACATGCTTCGTGTGTCAAATGGCAGCTCTGCTGCTGTCGAGGGTTAGCGCTGGGCCCAGAAGGGTATTTGTGAAGGGGGCAGTGTCTTGCTCTACACCCTCTCGTCCAGCACAGCAGAAACAGCTCCCACTGCACCCTTCCGGCATGAGCAGAGTAAACGGGGAGCTTCCCCTGGCATCTTCCTACATGTGCTCTGGGCCCAGAGGGGAAACACCACCCGGAACCATCCACGCCTAGGGAAAGAAAGCAAACTTGGCCCCTGACGGTTTGCCAGCGCCCTTGATGTGCACCTGAGGTCAACAAGAGCCGGACCCAATGGTGGGAAAAGCCAGGTAGGTACCCAGAGCACAGCTGTAAGGAGCGCGAGCAGACCCTGGGAGGAAATTTGGCAGCTTGAACCTTTATTTTTAGTATATTTTTTTTAAAAAGCATAATTAGAAACTTTCAATACAGAAATAATCCTAGCAAACCATTTAAAAGTGTGTTGTTTGACAGGAGGTTCACATCAGGTCCACTAGGACACCAGTTTAGCCCTGAGTCCCCCCACCCCACCCACCCCTCCACTCATGCATGTATCACTCTGTGGGACAGGCACACTTTGTCACCAAAACCACCCGTCACCTGGGCCTTCTAGGCAAGTGCCAAAAGCCACAGAGACACCTAACTTGGCTGGATGCGCCAAGATCACCCTCTTATTGCTGGAATTGGCAAACACCTCTACACTGGCTCCCATGTGCTCAGAAGCACACGTGACATCTTCTGCCCCTTGTCAGCCAAGACAGCCCTGAAAACAGAGTCTGCCTCAACTCCCAGCTCACCTGGATCGTGTGGAGCTGCCTACTGCTTGGCCTGAAGTGTCTTCCACAGCACCTAACTTCCTAGGCCCACAAGCTCCCAAACCCAGCCTGAAGCTCGCACAGGCCCCAGCTGTGGACAGTCTGCACAAGTGGAGACAGGTGAGAAGCCCCAGTTTTATTGATTAAACCCCATCCACAGTGTTAGCGTGGGAAATCTGCAGTCATCTGTGATTGTCCAGTCAGGACAGTGCCTGGAAATCAATCGCTAGGAAAGGAAATCTAATAAACACATCATGATGTCCAGATCAGCTCTTCCCAGTTACGTGATCCTTTGAGGGGAAGGAGGGGGAAGTAATCAAATGAAGATTACCCTGGTTTCTACTCCAGGGGGTGGGTGGGTCAATGCTGGCTGTCCCCACCCCACTGCCACTTCCTCCCAGTGGCTAAGAAATCTTCCTATCACCTTCACACTAAGAGAGACCCGTCCCAGCTTGGAGGTGTCTTCCCATAGTCCAGCAGCCCCTGGGTGCAGGTGCCTGGGGCTACAGTCCAGACCAGCTCCAGTGGGAGGCCCTTGCACACAGGAGCAAGGGTGCAAAGCCCCCTCTCCATGGAAGGGACAGAGCCTGGCCCCACGATGAACAGAAGCCATACATCTTTTCTAAAAATACTGAGCCCAAAGTGGAACAGTTGCAACTTTTGCTATTAAGCCAATCGAGTCTCAAGGAAATAAATGAGGAACTTAATTCCCTTGATTTGGCTGTCTGTTAAAATAATACTCCCCTTTGCAAGCTACATCTCTTAACGAGGGTACCCTACCTTTCTGCTGGAATTGAAACATGGGTTAAGTGAGAAGCACAGCTCCCCTGGGTTTGCAGCAGAGGCATCTAGAAGGCAGAATGAGGAACCTGTTGGGCAAAAGAGCAGGACTGACTTTCTCTGTGGAACTGCAGGCCTAGGGCCAGCCGAGGGCAGGGCCTGTGTGGAGGCCAGGTTCCCCAGCTTCCAGAACAGCTGTAGGGCAGGAGCCATGTAGAGTGCACTCCATGGGCCCAGGTTGGCCAAAGACTCAGCTAAGACATGAGGTTGGCTCCTCGGGAAGCTGCCGTCCAGCTGGGCTAGGAGGGCTTGTGGGAGGGTCTGTTTGTCGCAGCAGGTTGGCAGGAAGGAGGCAGAAGCCAGAGCAGGCCGAGGGTGCAGCTGGTTAATGTAATATACACTATGTACAAACTGGGTAATCAGTCCGCTCTGCTGGCAGCGTCCTCGCCAGGTCCAGGCGCCTCGGCAGGGAGATGGGCACCAGTGGGGAAGGGCAGGCTCGTCCAACACCTTCTTGGCACTCGGGGGGAGAGAGGGGAAGTGCCGGTGCGCCTCCCGATACAAAAAACGTGGAGAGAATTCTTTAAATAACGGCACTAAACTGAGACTGTCCCCGAGGAGCCTCTGGGGCCTCGGGCTGGGGGGGGCAGTAGTCTCTGCAGCGGGCGGGGCGTTAGCAGCAGCGCTTCTTCCGTTTACTGTTTTTCGTGAGCTTCACCACATCGTTCTGTTGCTGCTGCTGCTGCTTCGCCAAGTTGTCTTTCTTTGCTCGTAGAACCAGCTCTGTGATACAGTTGAACATCTGGAGAGAGGACAGGGCAAGGCTGACCTGAGCCAGAGTGCGGAGCACCCCCTGCTGGCTTATGAACTGTATGTATGTCCTCTGTGTGTGTGTGTGTGTGTGTGCACGCGCGCGTGCGTGCGTGTCACTCTGGGGTCTGTCTCTGTGACTATGTAACCCAGCCTGGCCTTAAACTCACAGCTGCCCTCCCTCTGCTTTCCCAGTGCTAGGGTGAGAGGTATGTACTATGTGCCCTGAAAACAGTGGTTCTTAGCTTCCTAATGCTGTGACCCTCTAATACAGTTCCTCATGTTGTGACCTCAACCAGTAAGTTATTTTTGTGGCAACTTCATGACTAATGTAAATATCTGCTATGCAGAACATCTGATATGTGACCCCTGTGAGAAGGTCCTGACACACAGGTTGAGAACTGCTGCTTTAGACGTTTAGGGGGAGGTGGTGGAGTTAAGGGTTAAAGAGGGATGCTGTCTTGGGGAAGTCGATCTCCGGGATACTCTGCAGTCTTTTCCTGTATGTGGCTTGCGTGTGTGAGGGCAGTGCCCATGGGGCGGTTGTGAGCTGCCTGGCATGGGTGCTGGAACTGAACTCGGGTCCTCTAAGGGCACGGTCAACCCCTGAGCCATCCTCCCTGCCCTTTGTAATAGAGGGAGGATGAGCAGACCCTGTGACGAGACGAGAGCGCGTTGCTGTGCGTGTAGATGGAAAGAAGCAGGGCTGCACACTGCATTGTACCCGGGCCAGACAGCGTCTACACCTTTCCCTGGCCACCAGGGTCCTGCTGCCGGGACTTAGGGATGCTAAGGTGGCACCAAGCCACAGACAGGAAAAAGCTGAACTAGCGGCTCAAGTGCCCACCAAACCAGAGGTGAGATGACTCAGGGCTTAGGAGCACCGACCCTCACAGCCCGGAGAATGACTCTCCCTGTGTCCAGATGCACAAATCAACTACCAAGAGGTAAGTCCCAGCTGTGGGGCCTGGCCTGGCTCTGAGCAGCCTGTTTCCAGTGCAGTGGGAACCCACCTTTCCTGGCACCGCTATACTCCTGGGGCCGTGGCAAAAGCGCTAGAGTCACAGCTGTTCCTCGCTGGCGCTGCTCCCAGGCGGATGCTCTGCCCACAAACCCCAGGACTCCCAGCAGGGGCCCACTTGAACAACCAAGAGGGGTGGGGGGGGGGGGGTGATGGGCTCCAGGGAAGGCCAAAAGCAAGCAGCTGGGATAGAACCTGCATGGCTTTCGGGTGGGAAAGATCTGGGCTTTGACTCCACCTCTTACTGGTTGAGGAACTTGAGTTTTCCTCCACCAAGCATGGGATCCTACCTCAGGACGGCTGGCCGAGCTAAGCGGCAAGACTTTTAAAGGACCCGCATAGCAGCAGCCAACAGTGGGCACTGAGTCAAAGATGCTCACCTACCCCCTGCCCGGGGACTGGAAAGATGCTCACCTACCCCCTGCCCGGGGACTGGCACAGCTTACCTCTTCCACGTTGACGTTCTCCTTGGCACTGGTCTCAAAAAGCTGGATCCCCATCTGCCCAGCAAATTTGTAGGCATCTTCTGTCTCCACCACCTTCCGCTCAGGATCGTCATTCTTATTGCCCACTTGGAGACAAGGCATAGTCAGCCACTGGGAGAGCAGCACCTTCTGCTTCCCCGCCCCACCCTTGGGGTCCAACCTCACCTAATATTCGGCACACATCGTCACAGTTCTGGTTGATTTCATGAAGCCATCGCTTGACATTGACAAAGGACTCGGCACTAGTGACGTCGTAAACCACAATGACCCCATGGGTCCCCCGATAATACCTGTAGAGCCAAAATGTGCATCAGGGCTTTGGGCCAGGACAGGGAAGCTGCTTCCCTGGGGTCCGCTTGCTGGAGCAGGACAGTGGCTGGGAAAGGTGAGGGTGTTCAGGGCCAGTCACTGTGTGAGGTAGACCAGACCTTAGGTGACTGTGGGCACCACCAGCTGGAACCCTCTCTCAAGTTCTGCTTTTAGTTTTAGAATTCAGGCAGTTTTTGTGTCTGACATGTTATCACCATCCTGGTTTAAACACTCTGAAATCTCAGTATAAAATGTCATTCCTAGATGCTGCACCTTACCAGAAGCCAGGGCAAAGTGTGTCCCTTTTCCCTGGCAAACAGGTGACAACTCCTATTCCTGCTTTTGGCTCACTGTACTGGTACTGTACTGGAGAATGCAGAGGATACATAGACACCCCCCCCCCCAGCAGCTGTAGGAAGGACTCAACTAAACCTGCAGACCCCAAACCAGCCAGAAGGTCTGGAAGGAAGCAGGGTGCCATCGTTCCTCTCGGAGCATCTGGTACCCAGAAAGCCAGACAGCACCGAGAGCACAGGCAGGAGGAAGCAGCACCCTCGGCCCCCACTCTACTCCAAAGCTACCTATTTTTTTTTTTTTTTTAATTTGTTTTTGTTTTCCAAGACAGGGTTTCTCTGTATTGCTTTGGAGCCTGTCCTGGAACTCACTCTGTAGACCAGGCTGGGCTCAAACTCACAAAGATCTGCCTGCCTCTGCCTCCTGTGCGCTGGGATTAAAGGTGTGGGCCACCAATGCCCGGCAAGCTACCTATTCTTGATCACTAAGGTCTTAAACACTGAGACTCCAAACTTTACAGCAGGCTGCCTCCCATCTAGCTCTACTGAACAGCACTTCCCCCAGCCTGAATTCCAAGATGGCTGCCCCAGGATCCACTGGTAAGGGACCCTTGCTGTCTAGTCACCTCTCTGTAGTCGAGACCTACCCGAGGCCAAAGGTCAAGCCTGATCCATCTCTGAAAGCCGTGGCCCCTGGAAAGGTTATTTGGCTTTCATCCTTGCCCTACCTCAATTCCCTCAACTATAAAATAGGGGTGCTAGTACAAACATACAAGGGTGGCTGTGAGGAAGAGGAGGTAACAGATGCCAGCCACCCCAAGGCTGCCAACATTGCGAAGACAGCGCTGGGTGCTCGCTCTTACTACCAGGACTAACTAGTGTTCCTCCACAGCAATCCGGAGTCCCAGATGAAGGTGGCAGAGCACCAGGCCCTGCTGCAAACATACTGCTGCCCCAGCATCTGTCCAGCCCTCCTAGGACACCGTACTCTGTCTAGTGACTTGTTCCCAGGCAGTGAGCCTTCCTGGCTTCGAGGGAGCCTGACAGTTCCACTATCTCCGCTCAGGACCCTGAACCAACCTGGCCTTGGTCCCCTAGCAAATGCTGCCCTGAGCACTAACCCAGCACACAGCACAGCTTGGTGGACGCCACTGGGAGCAGGTATGGCAACCCCGTGACTAGAAGCCATCCTGCAGTGGAGTGCCTCTGTAACTGTCCCTTTGCCGAACACACCAAGAAATGGCACACGACTGCCCTAGCTCCTGCCACTCTAGAGAGCTTCAGCCAGGGGTGGCCCAGATCTCCGGCTAGAAGGACAATACCAGAGCTCCCAGTCTTCTGACCCAAGGGTCTTACATCCACTGCCTTCCTCAGCTCTGCCCCCACTGGGCCCAGCAAAGCAGCCACTGAGTCCAGTGGCCAGCTGCAACCACACACCCTGCCCCCTGCCTATTCCTAGGCCACAGTGCAGGGCTTCACCCTTGTCTCCCCTCCTGACCATCTTCCCCCAGCCACCCCTGAAGGACAGAAAACTCAGGAAGGGTTAAGGCTGTGGGACAGCAAAGGGGCTCTTTTAGCAAACACACTGGGTATAGACATTTCCACTCCTACACAGACTGCCATACCTCCAAAACATGCAACTAATCTCAAGACCTTCCCGTCACAGCCAGGCCTGTCAAGAAATTTGGTTGCTAAAAATTTTCTTCCTACAGGATCCCATGGAGCAATCATTATGCCATTTGAGCAGGAAGTAACCTTAAGATAACGATGCCCCTTTCCCTACTCTTGGCATTTAGGGATAATATTCATCTTCTTAGGGTTGGGTATGGAAGGTGATGCTTAGACTCAGGTATCTCTAAAGACAGGAATAGGGTATGGCTGGGAAAGGTATGGTTTAGATGGGATATAGGTAGATTAGCCTATTTTCTTGTGAATTATTTTAGTAATAGTGAGATATTAGTATTATACAGCTTACATTGTTATAGATTCTTATATGTGGTATCCTATGTAAAGTTAAATTTATATTCCCTTCCTGGAAGAATTGTATGTTTTGTCATATTGTATAAAATCTTTTCATTTACAATGTTTTATGCACATTATCCTTACCATATTCTATGTATGTATACTTTTACTTATGTTCAAGACATTTTGTATATTGATACAATTTAGGATATTTTTATCATGCTGCCATTTATAATTCTACCTCTGTTTTAGAGATTTACATGTATATATACGTACATAGTTATATTGTTTAGATATTTGTCCCTGCTTTAACTCAGGGAAGTTTCAATCAGTGTTACAGCAAGGTTCCTGAGTATTACAGATAATCTTCACCCATGTTTCCTACACCTATGAGATTAGTCAGACATGGATGCTTAATCTTCAGACACCTCATAGACCTGCAGAGCACGGCATTTAAATGTTTTAATATTAGTACTCCGTTGACGTGAGACACTGTTGCTCCTGACAGCACCGTGACGGACACTGTTGTCTCTCCTTCTGGAGTCCATCCTCACTTTGGCTTACGGCCTCGCTGCGCCATTTGGAAGTTGCCCATCTGCACTTCCTGCTTACTCTAGTATTGTTATTTCCTTTCTCAGGTCTTTGATGAGGTTGAAGATTAAAGTATCACAACTATTATTCTCTCTTCCTAGTTAGATATATTAGGTACTAGACTTACGTTTTCCAGCTTAGGGCAACAACTCTACTGTAAACTCTGCTATGCCTTCACCCTAGGACTAGATATGTAGGTCTTAAGTTCGTATGTTCTCAGTTTTCCTTTTCTTAGAGCACACTTGTTATTCACTGTTTTGTATATAGTTTTGTATCAAGCCTAAATCTTTTCTTTAGACTAAGAGGGGAATTGTAGTGAGAGATTCATTTTGTCCACACCTGTGACACTGACCACACCCATAGGTTACCTGGAGGAACTAGGTCTGAGGAGGAAGGAGCCCAGGAGGCTCTCTTGCTTGCAGCACTGGACAGGAGAGCATCCGGAGGCATCCTTGGGACCAGGAACCTGCTGGTGTTCATCTGTCTATGTTGTAAGTTATTTCTCCCTGAATAAACATCTATTTGGCCTATTTGTTTCTCCTGATCCTTACTAAACCACACTACCTTCCCTTCTTCGCCAGCCACTGACTGTTACAGGGTGATGACTCTCTCCATGGCCTCCTTCACAGGCCTCAGAATGGGCCAGGGCTAACCTTGGTTTCCCCAGACATGTAGGCAGGACAGTTCGTCCTGGGCCGTGGCACTCACATCCACCACAGGGCAGAGTATAATAAACACACACACCAACCTGACCCTCAGCTGAGTAGCCCTGTGTTCCCTCTGCCACACTCACACCCTCAGAGGACCCCGAGGGCCCGTAACAGCCACAGGAGTTTCCATGACAGAACTGGAGACATGCTTCTAGAATCCACAACTGTTATGCAGGTTCTGTTACTTGTCTCTACAGAGACCAATCCATCTTGCACGCATTACAACATGGAGTCCACTTCTCAGAAGCACCTTTAGCTGGGAGAGATGGTGCATGCCTTCAGTCCCAGCAGAAACAGGTACATACCTGTGAGCTTGAGGGCAGCCATGGCCACACAACACAGCAAGTACGTGTCACTCACTCACTCTCACACACACACACACACACACACCTTTATCTATGAAACGAGGTAACAGCAGCACAGCACACAGAAAGCAGAGGTAACCTATGAAAGGGCCAGAGCAGGAGCTGGACTCAAGCCTTACCACTCAGACAAACCCTAACTAGAAATCTCAGGGACACAGACATTAGGCAGCTTGTCCAAGGACACACACAACAGAAATTTAAATCCCACGCTGTTTCACAAATGCCTAAGAACCCCATCTCTACACGGTCAACACTGGACTGGTCTCCTCCTGTGGGTGGAGGGTGACATGCTTGGCAATGGATTTCCCAGCTAACAGGGCGGGGATGTAGAAGAAGGGCCCACATACGCATGGTGTCCAGGCCTCCAGAGAGAGAGCCATCTCTGAGGAGCCAGGGTGGATGACCAGAGACTGCACAGAACTGTCAGTGGGTCACCAGGGAAGAACTTGTCACTACTGCCCAGTGAGGCAGATGCCGCCGCTATTGCCGCTGAAGGGAAAGGAGCTGCGGCCATAAAACTGAGTGCCCATGAGGCGGGTGCAGTCTATCTGTGCCCGACACCAGGGCCAGGGCTCCGCCACCGCACGTCCTAAGCCCTGGTGGCTACCACAGCACACCATGCCTTGTCCTGTGTCTCCAGGCAGGGAAGGCACAGCTACCGCCTCAGCCCGCTTCCTCTCACCCAGTGACATCTCTAGCACATTCTCTACCCAGCACAGCCACTCAACTTCACGGACACACCGAGGCAGGGCGCGAGGGACTCACGTAGAGGTGATGGTGCGGAAGCGTTCTTGTCCTGCGGTGTCCCAGATCTGCAGCTTCACCTTCTCCCCATTGATCTCCACAGTCCGGATCTTGAAGTCTACTCCGATTGTGGTGATGTAGCTGCCTGTACGGATGCAGCCCGTTACTCGGGAGGAGCCCTCTGGTCCCCCAAACCCCACCGCACCCCACTGTGTGTGCCCCACACAGTCAAGGCCCTAAGGACAGAGCCCTGAACAAACCTGCTGTAACAGGCCCACAATGCAAGACAATTTCAGAAATGCACGCCACCAATGACATTAAAAGGGGAAGTGACTGGAGAAAAGAGACGGGCTTAATTGGAAAGGCAGGGCAGGGACATGTCAGCTGTGACCTGAGAATAGAGCAGACCTATCCGTCCTGGGTTTCTCCTGTCTAGTTTTATTTTTTTTTTTTTTTTTTTTTGTTCCAAATTGACTGAGGACCCAACACTGTTACCATCCGGGGGGGATGGTAACAAAATACCCATGGTGAGTTTGGGGTCTGTGAGGCTAAGCCCAGCGTGGGAGGTGAGTAAGGGGCCACAGCCAGTACCCCAGGCTTCGTGCCATTGTTGAGAATGTGTACTGCTCTATGGTGGGACAATGAATTTTCACCAGCACACAGGATGCTGCTGCCGACTATCCACAACACAAGAACAGATGGCCATGCGGAGTGTGGCAAGGGCACGGGAAAGGAGGCAGAGATGGGAGAGTTAGCAGGAAGGCTTGACGAAGGCGGTGAGGCGGGGTCAAGCCTACCCTAGGGAAGCACCAGAAACCAGGCCAGAGTCTGGTACCTCCGGGGCCAGCAGCTCCTCACACCTAAGCAAGCAAAGCAAAACAGTCAACACACACACAGCACAAGAAAGCTAGAAACAGGTTCTGAAGACCAGTGGTTCTCAACCAGGGTGGCTGTTCCCCTGAGGACACATGGGAACATTACCATCTGGAGACAGTTTTGGTTGTCACAGTACAACTGGCATCTAGTGGATATGTCTGGCCCGGAGACATAGCCCACCCCAATAGAGGGTCTGGGTTCAATTCCCAGCACCCACATTGGAACTTGCAACCACAGACATGCATGCAGAGAAAACACACAGATACAGTTAAAAAGACAGAAGAATTGACAGAAGCGTAATGACAACACCTCCCTTGAAAAGCAACCTGGGAACTGGTGAGGTGGCTCAGATGGGTAAAGGAGCTTGCGACCAAGCAGGAGGACCTGAGTTCAGTCCCACATGATGGAAGCAGGGAATCAACTCCTAACTGTGCAGATCTCCACATGCATACCAAGGTGTGATGGTTGGAGTAAGAACGGCCCTCATAGGCTCATGCATTTGAATGTAAATCACCAGGGAATGGAGCTCTTTGAAAGGATTTCTAGGATAAGGAGACATGGCCTTGTTGGAAGAAGTGTGTCACTGGTATTTTCAAAAGCCCATGCCAGGCCTAGTCAGCCTCCCTCTCTCTCCTGTTTGTGGGTCAGGATATGGCTTTCAGCTATGGTTCAGTGCAATGTAGGCTGCCATGCTCCCTGCCATGATAATAATGGACTGACCCTCTGAAACTGTAAGCTAAGGCCATCATTAAATACTGGCATGTCGGGCTGGAGAGATGGCTCAGAAGTTAAGAGCACTGGCTGCTCTTCCAGAGGACCTGAGTTCAATTCACAGCACCCACGTGGTGGCTCACAAACATCTGTACTGAGATCCAGTGTTCTCTTCTGGCCTGCAGAGATACACGCAGGTAGAACACTGTATACACAATAAATAAAAAAAGACTTGGTATGTCCCCCTTGCCCTCAGCTTCAGTCAAATATGGGTTTTTGTTTCTCTGTGTAACAGCCCTGACTGTCCTCGAACTCACTCTATAGACCAGGCTGGCCTCAAACTCACAAAGATCTGCTGGGATTAAGGGCATGCATCGCTACCTCCTGGCATACATAAAGGGTTTTTGAAAAGCAATTTGGCAGTTTAAATGCCCTTAGACCCTATGACATAGTAACCTCAGTTCTGTGTGTACAAGAAGAAACAATGTATCTCAGAAATATAGCATGATTAAAACAGAAGCAACAAAAGCCACATAACCTGAGTGGTGTTGGTGAAGGCCAGTGCATCCAGACATAAGCAAACTTCCCAGCCATTACAGAGCAAAAGGAAAGCCGGGCATGGTAGCATATATGCCTTTAATCACACTATTTGCTAAGTGGATCTCTGTCAGTTCAAGACCAACCTGGTCTACATAGCAAGTTCCAGACCAAGCCAGAGATTCATAGGGAGACACCATCTAAAACAATCAGGACCAGGGTGGGGGGTGGGGCAAGGCTGGAACAAGTTTCTGAAGAGCTGGTAGGGCCAAGAAAAGATACCTACACCGCACCCAGAACAGAAGCTCCAGAGCAGCAGAGGGACGGTGTGGAAACAACTGTCATTTTTACGGTACAGACATCTTCCTATTAGACATGGACTATCTAGTAAGACTTTAAACTCTTAAATGTGGGGCACAAGTAGACCCTCGGGAGGGAGATTAGGGTCAGCAGGAGTTTCTCACCTCAGTCTCCCACCCCACTTCCCCTCAGCCAACAACCTGAACGATAGAGTCTCCTGCACCACACTGGGGCAGGTGGGTTCTGGAATAGGGTGCATTTCAAAACAAAGCACCCTCCAGCACCCAGGGAAGGCTCACCTGAGAAAGTGTTGTCTGCAAATCGTAACAGCAAGCTGCTCTTGCCTACACCTGCAAGACAGAAGCATGGGGTGAGCAAGCAGGAGGCCTCCCTTAGCCCGTCCTTCCTAAGGAGCCCAGTGGGGTCAGCGCGCTTCAAGGCCGACCTATCTCCCCACACACCCAGAAGTCTCTTCCAGGCAACTGCTGACCTTTTTCCTTCTTCCTCATGTAAGACAAGCTGCTCTCAAATTCTCTGGGGGAGATGGCAGAGGGACTCACGCCCAGGCCCTGTTCCGAGGGCCATCCCAGACAACAGAGACAAGCAAGAGGAAGGTTAATCAACTGAGACCAGTCCACCGGCACCTTCCTCACGGCCCCCGGGAAACCCACGCTACTTCAGTCTGCTGGCACTCTGCATGTGAAGAAGCTGGCGCCACATGACCAGAACCAAAGGGCAGTCAGTCTGGCTGAATGGGTAAGGCTGGGTGTTGAAGATACATTGCTGTGATGGATTTAATAAGAAGAACTGAACGGCCAATAGCTGGGCAGGAGGTATAGGCGGGACTTCCAGGCAGAGAGAGAGGAAGTAGGAAGAGGAGTCTAGGCATGAAGGAGAGTCATGGGCCAGTGTCAAGGTAGCAAAGTTGGCAGTACAGAGAGAGGAGGTATCGAGCACAGGATGGAACACACATTTAAAAGCATAGGTTAATTTTAAGTTGTAAAAACTAAGTGTGCAAGATGCTGGTGGCGTACACCTTTATTCCCAGCACTCGGGAGGCAGAGGCAGGCGGATCTCTGTGAGTTCTAGGCCAGCCTGGTTTACAGAGGAAGTTCCAGGACAGCCAGGACAGTTACAAAGAAAGAGAAACCCTGTCTTGAAAAACAAAAAACAAAACCAACAACAACAACAAAAAACTAGTTAGGAACAAACTCTAATCTAAGGACAAGCTTTCACAACTAATAATAAGTCTCCATGTCGTTACTTGTGAGCTGGCAGCCCAAAGAAAAATCCATCTACACAGGGAGCCTGCTGGAACCCTGCTTGGCTCCCTCCCTCCTGGGAGTGCTTGGACCACTGCACTTGCCACAAGTGCAGCTCCCTCCCACCTGTGCAAAGAACCTGGCTTCCCCTTGACCTCCACACATGTGGCTTTCATTGGCCAGTGTACCCTTCTGCCTCCATTACTCAAAGGGGCTAGAGCAGTCACAGAATAAAAGATTAGCACACTCAAGTCTGCATGATGGCTCGTGGTGCTCCCAGAACTCCACTGTGTCCCCTCAGATGAGGAGACCAGGACTTGAAGAATGAGCAGCTGACCTAAGACATCTACAGAGGTCAGACACAGGTTCAAATCCAGGCCTGCCACGTACCTCTGGACACCTCTGTTGGCATCCTGAGGGGCTTGTTTGCCTGCTCCTTTCCTCTTTCTACCTTCCCCTTCTCCCTTTACTGCTTTTTTTTTTGGGGGGGGGGGACGAGTGAGTATCAAATACCCCAGGCCAGACTTGAACTCACTGTGTAGCAGAGAATGGTCTTGAATCTGATTCTTCTGCCTCCACCTCCCAAGTGCTGGGTTAAAGGTGTGCTGGGAGTTGAACCCAGGACTTGATGCATGTGAGACAAACACTCTACCACCTGAGCTATAGTCCTAGCCCTTGATGAGGGTACTTTCATCCATTTAGTAGGCATGCAAATGACTTCATGAACTTTGAAAAGCTATTTGACAATATCAAGGAAAATTTAAGTCCCCGGACCCTGTGACCTAGTGTCCTCACTTTTGTGGAACCTGCTGCACAAGAACAAACATTGTAGCCCAGTAATGAAGCAGTACTTAAGAAACAGCCAGGAACCAGAGCATGCTAGTGGATGTGAGCCCATCATTCTCGGGAACATAAAGTGATCCCAGGACCCTGTACCCATCCTTTCCGTTCTGTTCTAACAGAAATGCCCTGGGAAAGGCAGCAGATCCTAAGCTAGTACCTCACAAATGTCCTGTGACTGAAAGCAAACTCTAAGCATATGTGCCTATCACGAAAAACCCCCGGGTTGACTCCAGTTCTCCAAGACAGCACTGCTCCAACCCCAGCCCTCCAGCAACCAAGACTGCAAACCTCTGCTGTAGACGGGGCTGCACAGCCATGTCTCTACCTAAGCCCAGACACCTCTGCTGTAGACAGGGCTGCAGCAGCCAGGGCACCTGTTGTTCAGCTGACCTTGCTCTCTGCTCAGCACCACTTCCTCATCCTTCCGCCATGAGGCTTCCTGTTAAACCCAAGGAGAGCCCAAGTTCTGGGCCGGTCCTCACGGTGTTCTGTCTAACACCCATTGGCCCTATGGCCTCCTCTGCTTCCTCCTGCAGTCTTCTGGGTACAGCTTACTCAGCTGAAAGCTCATGTCTGGCCACCCATGTCTGGCCGTGAGTTCCCCAAGCACTGAGGACCTAGACCTCACCTCCTTCACCCCATGCACTCATTCGGTGCTGTGAGCTGAGCCCAGCACTTAACAGCTACCAGCTAAACCCCTCCACAATCGAAAGCTATGTTACATCATGCTATCACAGCAGCATTACCAGGTGCCATGAGAGGCTTTCGATCTTCAGGGGCAGGGAACAGCAGAATCCTCTTTCTTTTTTCCCTTAGACGGGGTCTGTCTGGTCTGGAACTTTCCAGTGTAGACCATGCTGGCCTCAGACTCATAGAGAGCCACCTGCCTGTGCTTCCCGAGTTCTGGGATTAAAGGTGCGCAATACTACATCTGGCTGTTTATAATTTTTATTTTTACCAATGTTATTACTACAAATTTATCCAAATCTCACATCTGTAATAGACAAGGGAGAGGTACCATCCACAGTGACATCAAGGACCTGAAATCCTTGGTTGCAGAACACCACCAGTCACAACACAGACCTGACCCCAGCCTCCAGGACTGCCCCCGCCATGACATGACACCTCCCGAATACCCTAGCTGCTGTCTACCCTGCACACGCACCCAACAAAGCAGAGCAGGGACATACTTTCACCATGGAAATGCTTTCCTCTAGCCATCTAGCGCACGGGCCAGCGCACTTGCTGCCTCTGGGCAGGCAGGCGATGGCGCCCTTGTCCGATGCCCCTCTCTGTGTCTGCTACTCTGGGCCTGCACCCCAGCTCCCTGCCACTGCCCCTCTCTTGGCCACAGCATCGTCCCTTTTCTTTGCTTCAGCACCAACCTGCAATAAACTCAAGCGATATGGACTTTAATTCTGCCTCGGTGGCCACCTTCTCGTGTAACCTTGGACAAGCCATGCCCGCCTCCCGTCTCCAGCCTACTCACCTGTTGAGGGTTTTAGCTAGGTCTGACGACACACTAGCCTCCAGGTTCTAAGAATGTGGGTGATTGGCATCAGTGGGCACCATTATGAACTAAAGCCAAAGTCAGAACAGCTGACAAGACAGCGTAGCACCCCAGGTACAAAGATACCCAAGCCCAGGGATGCATTCCAGAGGTGTGGCCCACTGGGAAGCGGGACTCTAGGTTTACAAAGCAGCTAGCATGCAGCATGGCCGACTGCTCACCAGCCCAACACCACCCGCTCCCACAGCGCCAACAGAAGATGACTGACTCCCAGCTTTGCTTCTGAAAGCTGTGTGATTTGGGGCGAGTCAGGCAGCTCTGCCAAGCCTTAGTTTCCTTATTTGAGAAACCACAGAGGCCATGGGTGAGAATCAGATGAGAAAGTGTCTGTGAATCACTTGATACACCTTGGGACGCACATACTTGGGGCCCAGGGCAGGCAGGGGACGGCGTGGGGACCCTGCCCAGCTGAAGCTCATTCTCAGCTGTCATCTCCCGCCTTCCTAAATGCTCGCCTTCGTCCGCAGCATGTAAGCTCAGTGTCAGAGATCAAACAGCATAGCATCTCCCTCCCTCTCCACAGCCCAGACCTACACACTCATACCGGGGGCGGGACCACACAGACCCTGACCAACGAGTGTCTTCTCCCACACCTGACTTCTGAGCAAAAAGAAAAATCAATACGCCATGTAAAATACGCTGTAAAAGAGCAAGCCAAAACCATGCCCCGTCTCCCAGAAAAGCCAACAAGCTACACCTGTGGCTGAGTTTAACCCTTTCGAGTTTGGGTATTAACAGTGGCGCACGCCATCTTGACCGCGGCCCGCTGGGGCCACCATGGTGACAGCCACTCAGAACCAAGGCCAAAGAAGCAAACAAACGCCATAGGCTGTGTCCAAGCTCAAGTTCACACAGCTTGCTTGGTTTTGTTTCCATTTACAACCAGTCTTCAGCCTTCCTAACTCCATTCCCAGACACAGCTACCCTTGTAGACAGGTCCTAAGTTTTCCCAACACCTTCCCTCCACTGAAACTTCAACCATCTCCCACCGTGCCCAAACCACCAACCACATCCCAACCCAGCTTCTCCGTGAGACCAAAAGCCACTCACTAACCCGGCCCATCTATGACACCACCACCCAGCAAGCCTACATCCTGAGTCTCGGGGGACTTGTCGCTCTATTTCCTTAATGACCCAGAGGCTCTGCCACCAACTTGGTTGCCTTGAGTCACATGACCCTCTATCCCACACTCAGCTAAAGTCTCATCTACAGACTTGGAGGCTCCCCAGCCACTTTCCCAAACGTTATTTAGTGCTACAGCACCTCAGCTACATTCCCACAAACATCCTGGGACCTGCCTCCCAGAACTCAACGTCACCCCCGCAGACCTGATGACCAAACATCTCTAAAATGCTTCATCCTTGGCCAGACACCAGTCTGACTTTCCTAAGGCCGCTCGGTGTCCATTCACTGAATAAACGAATTCTAAGCAGTGGGTGCCAGAAGTTTCTCTATGAACCAGACATGGAGCAGTCTCGAAAGGAGTGTGCGCGTGAACAAAGCACTTAAAACGCTGGATGAAGCAGCCCGGGGTCTCCCTCTGGCATTACCGTGTGCACCCACCGTGTGCCAGGCAGGCAGACCTTCCACTGCTCCATTCTGCAGACCAGGGAACTGAACCAAGCCAAGACTTAGCAACCATTCTGCAGGATTCGTGCTTATGGCTTCACCTGCCACACCTCATCCGAGCGCACGGCGACCCGGAGAGAGGTCCTGGGAATACCCCCATTTCACAGAGGGCTCAGTCTTCACAGGGAGACTCACGCCGCCCGCACAACAGTAACTTAGGGTTACTTTACATCGGGTCAGGCGCCAAGCACTTCCCCTACTCGGGCTCACCGAACACTCACAACGCTCAGTTTACCAAGTCCCCACTTCTCAGATGCGGGAACTGAGGCTCGCTCAGAAAGGTGAAGCAACTTGCCCAAGGTCACAGAGTGAGAAAAGCTTCTCTTCCCGGGACTCGAACCCGGGACTCGAACCCGGGGCTCTCCAACTCCAGAGATCGCGCGACTTGACCAAGGTCACACGTGAGGCAGGAGCAAGCGCCGGGGCAGGCATCCCGCGCGCTCGGCACCCCGACCCGCCGAGGGGCAGCCCGGAGCCCCTGGCTGCGCCCCCGGGGCCTGCGGCCGCCCGCCGAGCTGCGCGCCTCCCGCCCCGCGCGGGCCGCGCCTCCCCGCCCGCCCGCCCGCCCGCCCGCCCTCCCTCCCCGAGGCCCCCGCGGGCCGCGCCCGGCAGGGCCCGCGCCGCCTCCGGCCCCTGCGGCCCTCACCGCTGTCGCCGATGATGAGCAGCTTGAAGAGGTGGTCATAGTCCCGGGCCATGGCGGGCGGGGGCGGGCGGCGGGCGGGCGGGCGGGCGGGGTCGGTGCTGGCCTCGCGATCCGCAGCTCCTTCCCGGCTGCTCCGGCAGCGGCGGATCCACTTCCCGAACAAACAGCCGGAACTGACAGAAACACCTCCCTCCGCTCCCCCCACCCTCCTCCTCCTCAGCAGCCGCCGCCGGTGCCGCCGCCTCTCTCCTTCCCGCCCCGCCCCGCCACTGCGCAGGCGCGGCGCCCGGCCCCGCCTCTGCGCAGCCGCAGCCCTGGCCGGCCGCGCCCTCTCCGCGCACGCGCACTGCGCACGCTCCCCGCCGGAGTCCCGGGCGAGCGCGTCCGCCGCGGCCCCGAGGAGACCCGAGCAGTTCCGCTGGCCCGACGGAAGGGAGGCGACGGCCGGCTGCGGAGCTGCGCCCTGGAGGTCAGCGCCGGGCGGAAGTCGCCTCCGGGAGCCCGACGCTCCGGGCGGAACGGATAGCAGCTCCGGATCCGCGGGGCCCGCCCTGGTCGCCCGCGCGGCGGGCGGCTCCTCCCGCCTCAGTTTCCCGTAGCTGAAGGAGCCCGGGGCGCCGGAACTCAGCGGTGCGCAATCCACAAGCGGCCTCAGGTTTTTCCAGTCTGGGTGGATGCCCACCTGCCCTTGCCGGTGCGCTGCCTCCGCCATCCTCACTGCAGACTCGCAGGGATTGCTCCATCCCTGTCTCCCTGGCTTTCCCCAGCAGGTTCTCCAAAGCGGCCGAGGATACAAACCCTGCCTGCGCCTCCCGAGTCCAGTTTTATGTGGTGCTGAGGCTCGAACCCAGGGCTTCGCACATGCTGTGCAAGCGCTCTCTGGGAGCTGAGCTGAGCTCCACCAGCCCCTTCGTGCTGAATTCATACTACCTTCCAGCGCTTTCCAGTCAAGCTCCTGTTGGAAAACTGTGTCCTCCCCTAATCCTCCCCATAAAAAGCAGCGCTGGTGTTTTTTTTTTGTTTTTTTTTTAATTACAGATGCTTACTGAATTCGAATTTCAAACTAGTCTTTCCTTCGGAGCCACTCGTCCTCATAGTAACACATCAAAGTTTCTTGGACAGCGTGAAATACTTAATAGTTAAATGGATACATGCTTTCCCACAGATTTATATGTGTATTTAAGTACACGTGTATGTTTGTGCCTCTCAACGTGGTACTCCATCTGATGGCTGTACTTAATCCTCAACCGCTCTGCTGTAAATCTGTAGATTCGTGCGGTTCATTTTTTGCTATTCAGGCTATTACAGGCCAGGTCCTTGAACAGCAAATGGAGTGTCTGGTGCAAGCCTCGAACTGTTTTTCCAGAAGCAAGCGTGGTGATGTCAGATGAGCATGAGCCTGGAATCAGAAGGTACCAGCTGAAGAGAGACGCTGTGGCCTGTGTTCTTGATGGGACTCCTCCTGGGTCTGGGCAAGCTAATGCCATCCCTTTGACCATCAGTTTTAAGAAACAGAGGGAAGGGCTTAGGGATGGTTCAGCAGTTACGAGCACTGGCCCTTCTTCCAGGGAACCCTGGTTAAATCCTCAGCACCCACATGGTGGCTCACAACCGTCTGGGACTCCTGTCTCAGGATCTGTCCTCTTCCGGCCTTGGCAGGAGGCACTGCAAAAACATGATGTATAGACACACGTTCTGACTAGCATTCATACACACACACACACACACAAAAAAAAAAAAAAAACCCTCAAAAAAGTCCTAGGCCAGGCAGTGGTGGCGCACACCTTTAATCCCAGTGTTTGGAAGGCAGCTGCAGGAGGATCTCTGTGAGTTCCAGGACAGCCAGGGCTGCACAGAGAAACCCTGTCTCGAAAAACAACAAAAAAGTCTTAGGGTCAATGTGAGAGAAGCATCCCGGTCTCCCTAGCCAGTGAAACCGTGGTCACACGCATGTCACACGCACGCCTGCTCCCGGCTCAGGAAGGCTGAGGTTTTGGTGCCAACTCTGAAGTCCACCCTGAAAAGCTTTTGGATAAGCAGCGTGGCCCTGTCTCAGGCCGTTCCCTCACTGAGTAGACTGTGACAACAGCAATAGATGCGAGTCAGCCACTACTGAGCTGTAGACTTGCAGAATTTCCAAGGCAGCAATCTGGTAACACAGCTGCCAAGAACTTCCGGGAAGTAAAGCAGAATGGACCACAGGGAGACAGGAGCCCTAGGTTTGTCCCAGGAGCCATCTAGAACCTTAATTCCTCCGTTTATTCTGTAACTATGTAATGGCTTCTTACTATTTACCACAACCCATGTTGTAGAGGATCATAATTAAACTTTTTTCCCCTCCAAGAATTTATAGACCCAGCAGAGCTCAGGTACACCCACGAGGAACTACAAATGAATGATAGAACAAGCAGCTGGAACAGCTGTCAGGCCTCCACCTAGACTTCAGAGGGGACAAACCGCCAGTTAGCAAGAGTGAGGGGACAGTCTAGCATAAACGTGTCATGGTGACACCAGAACAGAGGTGGGCTTTGGAAGTCAGCTGCTGCATGTACACATTGGCTGTCTCAGCCTGGGAGAATCATGGGGGAATTCCCTGAGGGCAGAATATGCTTCTGGAACCCCAAAACGGAGTCTCCCAGCACATCCTCTGAAAACATGGTTCCGCACATGCGTGTTCCGACCGGGTCTGCCTGCGGCTGGAAACCTCACCCACCATGTCCTGAGCTGGCTAGGGATCCCTCCAGCTCCTCTTCCTACTTGAGAAGCTGCAAGAGTCAATAGGAGTTTCCCAGCCGAGAAAGGGCATCAGCTACATGGCAGACAGCTACAGGGCTTGAAGTGTGAACAGGAGGGGGCAGGTACCGAAAACTAAACAAGACAAACGGTGACAGCCAGACAAAGCTGCTTTTAAAACGTCACTTCACCTGGCAACTGGATTCATGCAACAGATTCAATCATTTGATTCATTAATTCAATAAATATGAATGTGCTTACTAGAAGCGCCCAGAAGCAAACAGCACTCCATGTCTTCATGTTGGGGGAAGCAAGTCAGGAATTCAACAACTGATGGGGGCTGGAGGGATGGCTCAGAGGCTCAGACAGGCATTTGCTCTTGCAGGGGACCAGGCTGGGTCCGCAGCACCCACGTAACAGCTAACAACGTCTCTGACTCCCGTCTAGGACAGCTGTTACCACGGGTTCTGGTAGGAAGGACTGTGTGCTGCTCTCCCCGGAGTAAGGTGCTGTTCCAAGACACTCAGGCATTGGTTCTTCTGTTCCATCTTAGAAGTCACACCAACACCAGACAGGGTCTGGGGGCTCACTCTGGCACACTCAACTAGGTCTCCTCAAGAAATTCTACTGACAACACTCCTTGAAACAGCTCTTCCTCAGCTTTAACCTGTTAGTCCCTTCCCCCTCCAAGGCAGGGGAGCCCCACTTACAGAGCTCAGGAGTTCTCAGAACCACGGGGGCGGGGGGGGGGGCACACGGTTCTGCTGCTTCTGCAAAGCAGAACCCGTGGATCCAGAGCCACATGCAAACCCGGGCGCTGCTCTTGTTAAAGTCGTTTTCCAGATTACTTTTATTGAATATCGCCGAGCCTTGGTGACAAGAGAATCAAGAAATACAGGTTTCTTCCCTCCAGTTCTGCCAGCCGGCCGCATGATCTTCCCGTGGGCACCTAGCTCTACTCTTCCTAAAGCAGGAGCTTGGCGCTAACATGGGGAGTGGCTGGTAGCCAATCCTTTCCCACCCTGTACTGGCAAAGGCAGGCATCACCATTACAATCATGTCTTCTAAATACATCTCAAGTTGACAGCTTTTCAGACTATGGGGCAAGAAATGGAAGGCACACAGAAAAAGGCATTATGCCTGGCTTGTGTCCCGCCTTGTACAACGATTGGCAGTCTTAGTGTTCTGTTGCTGTGAAGACTCCATGACCACAGCAACTCTATAAAAAATATTTAATTGGGACTTGATGGGAGTTGTCATTCTGAAATATGTTTCTCTTATTGGTTAATGAATAAAGCCCTGTTGGCCTATAGGAAAGCAAGATAGGCGGGACTAGGAGAGGTGGAGGATGTTGGGAAACAGAGGAGAGTCATGATGTGAACAGAGGGTTAGTCCACTGTCATGGCGGGGAGCATGGGGGCACACAGGCATAGTGTGGAGTAGCTAGGAGTTCTAGATCCATATCCACAGGCAGCAGAGGAGAGACACTGGGTCTGGCTTGGGACCTTAAACCTTAAAGGCCACCCCCCCCCCCAGTGACACCTCCTCCAACTGGCCACACCCCCTAACCTTCTCAAGTAGAGCCACTCCTGGTGACCAAGCCTTCCAATCTGTGAGTCCATGGGCTCTTTTTATTCAAACCACCACCCTGGCCCTTTCCCAGCTTCTCGCACTGTCCACATGAGAACCTCCCGTGTGCCAGCTTTGGGCGGAGCACACCATTGCCATTCAATGCAGGCGGCAAGCCTGGCGGCCATGCAGCACACCTGATCCAGAGCTGATGTCAAGCAGGACAGGGAGGGCTTGGAGATGACCCCAGCCCTGTGTTTCCTACACCCCGAGCTGCAGAGCAGCTAACAGGACACCTGACAGCCAGCCTCTTAGACTGCCCCATGTTACACCTCCAGTACTACAGAAAGCTAAAGCCTGCGGATTTGAGGAAGAGCTGCCAGTGAAGTGACTGCCACCCAAGCATGAGGTTCCCTCAATGTGACAGCTTGTGGATATCATCCCAGCGCTGGGGAAGCGGACACAGGAGGATCCTGGAGCTCTCGAGCCACCAGTCCAGCTGAAACAAAGAACTCCAGCTTCAATGACAGGAGCCTGCCTCAAAATAAATAAACAAGATGGAGAGCAATCTCGGACACACACACACACACACACACACACACACACGCGCGCGCGCGTGCGCGCGGGCACACACACACGCACGCACACACATACTTGCATATAGACATATACACATATTTCACAACAAAACTGAAATTCCTCTTTTTCCTTGTTGTCCTCATTTATTTTTAAGATGGAGTTTTACTCTGTAGCTCATATGAGCTTGAATTTACAGCATTTCTCCTGCCCCAGGCCCCGGAGTTTGGGAATATTCCCTACTGTTTTACAATTCACTGCTCTGCTTTAGAAAGACCTGAAGTAACTCGGAACAGCCATTCAGAAGTACACTTAGAG